TATGTATATATATAATATTTATGTGTGTATGTGTGTGATAGATGATAGATAGATAGATAGATAGATAGATAGATAGATAGATGAGATTATATATATGGATGAGCTTAGGTATTTGTGGAAAATAACCTCCAAATATTTATCTTTGTGGAATTGCAATAGTGCAGAGTACTGAAAGTAAGCTGAACAATGAAGTTAGTAAGAGCTAATTCTAAACTAATTAGAAAGGACTCCAGGTCCCAGCTCAGTAATGCCAACTTGGTTATGGGAGAAAAGGTTGGAAAACTGCAAGAGTTCCCAGACTTTTGTCATTTTGGCTTGCTATTTTTGTTATACTATATATATGCTATAGAAATAGTAGGATAAGAAGGTAGATTATTAAGTCTATTTTTAAACAAAAATAGCAACTACTTAATTTTAAATATTTTACATTGATTTGGAATTTGTATATTGATACAGATTTAAGGTTGTTTTTGTTAGAACATACTGTGCATATATTTCTACTGTTCAAGTTATTGTACCTATAAAGGTCATCTAACAATTTAATGTAAATTTCTAGTCCCTTAAAAGTTATTATTACAAACTATTTAGGATAGTAAAGAAATGCATAGTTAGTCACTTATTACAATCAAACTTGTAATCTTGTTAGGTATGTTTTCAAAGTCAAACACAGATATATTTTAGGTAGACATGTAGGAGGTCTTCAAACACTTCAGAAATCTACAGAAAATGACATTTAAGATATGTTAATAACATAGGATCTTTTTTATGACAAGGCATGTCTACTCCTGGAAGCACCAATTTACTTCAGAAAAGACAATGAGCATAGATGAAACTCCATATGGGGTTTACTCTTTTTTGTAGTAAAAATAAGCCACTAGGCAAGATAATAGCCTTGCCTCAACTGTTGACAGTATGTTGTCTAAACTAGACAAGCATAACACAAAAGAAAGTGAGTGTTGAACTTTGCCAAGACAAGGTAGGAACATCTTTCAGAATACACAGAAAAGTCTACCAGATATGTTAAGCCTAAAATCTGAAGATAAATGCTCCATCATTGCAGAGGAACTGTGGGTGATTGTCCAGGCAGCCAGCTGTTTCTATCATGTCTCACAGTTTTTGGAAGTTGCTTGCTTGCACTTCCTGCTTACTCGAGTAATATTTCCTTCTCAGGTCTATGATGGAGTTGAAAACTTTATAGTTATAGTTGGTTCCTGTTACAAGATTCAGAAAAGAAATTCACTGAAGAAATGTAAAGTGTATGAGGTTGAGAAACAAAAAGATAATTCTGGGTTGGTAATGCAAGTGAATTAGGTACAACACTTTGGACTTGCCAAAATAGGATAGATAATGGAGTATTTTCTCTGAACTTGTCAAATGTTTATGGACTAGATATTGTTAATATATTTATCTCCTGTATATATCATATATAGTTATTGTACTTATTGTATATAGTTTTTCTTATATTAGTTATAACCTTGTTATATCTTTGACAAAAAAGGGGAAATGTGGCGATATTCTGTTTGTGTTCTAATAAAAAAGAAAAAAGTAACAACAAAGAAAAAAGCTTGCCTGGAGATCAGAATGCAGAGTTAACCACTAGTTAACCATAGAGGTCAGGCTGTGGTAGTACACACCTTTAATACCAGCACTTGGGAGGAGGAAAGAGGAAGTGATGACTGAGTAGAAAGAGAGGAAGTGATAAGGCTGGGCAGAGACAGGAGGCTGCCCCTTTCTGACTGAGAAGTTGATGAGGTAAGAAGTGGTTGTGGCTTGCTCTTTTGTGTCTCTGATCTTTCAGCATTTACTCTGGTATCTAAATCTGGGTTCTTATTATTAAAACCAATTATAACGATTTGAAGGCACACTTATAGAGTACAGAGTTTGTGCCAATACAGTGAAGAAAACCTCTCAGAAGAATCAAAACAATAGAGAACATCTGCTTAAAGACAGCAAAGTTTCCAAGATTAAGAACCAAGAAAACAATTAAGAATGACTAGAAAAAGATAGCAACACATCTGTCTGTAAAGGAGACCAAAAGGATGCTGCAGGACAATCTCGTTGCCAGGACACTAGCCACTTAATAGGGCCCAGTCTCACTCTTCCGAGCAGGTGCATTCCAAAGACTAGGATACTCCATCTCACAGCCTCCAGTGGGTCTCAAAAGTAAGGATGGAAGGAAAGTCACTGAGAAGCTCCATCAACTTGCCCTGGCTATCAAATACAGTAAGAGCCACTAAAAAAATATTTCTAATGTTATTTCCGTATTTTAAGTCAGCCTAAGTACTAATTTATATATTTCTTTCAATTAATTCTCCAAGTAGAGGGATTTAATGACCAAAAGGAAGCATAAGTGAAAATTATAAAATTCTTTTCCACTTTATCCTACCAAGAACTGGATTTAGTCTTGGTTAGGATTTTGAATTAAAATAGCATCAAGTCTCCGAAGCTCTAAGTCTTGCTGATTCCAAAGCAACAATGAAAGATATGAAATACTCAGCCTGTTTTCCTACAAGCTCATAAGCACGAGGCATACTGGTTCCCTTTTGAGTCAGTTGCAGGTGGGTGTCATAGTTGGATGACAGGGACAGAGGGCAGGGCTTGTCACTGTTTACTGCAGCCAGCTCATTGTAACAGTTCAAGAACAGGATCAAGAATCAGGTTCACAAAACAATCACCTTTTCTGCTTATTTGTTCCTGAGAACCTAGAACTTATTTTATCACTGCACCAATCAATTTAATTCTTTTTTAAAACTTGGGAACAATTCAGTTTAAGGGCACAGTTAAAACAAAGCTTTATGAAGATGATCAAATTTAGCTTACAATGCACATGTAAAGGAATCATGCCAGTTCTTTAAAAAAGCCACAAAATGAAGATTGGGAGGCAGCTCATTGTTAAAACCCTTGGCTAGCATGCACAGGCCCTGGGTTTGCTCCTCAGCAATGAAGATGACAATGATGACGATGATTATAATGATGATGCTACCCTATGATGTTCAAGTTTCCATGTTAAAAATTAGGGGCTTGATGGATTCTAGGCTTTCATGCTGTAGGAACTCAAATAGTGGAGCATGGTCAGTTGTTAAATGCATGATGGGACAGGTGTCTGAGTCCTGACTTTAAGGCGATACTGTTCCTCAACAGAGCAACTTCTGGGCTGAGTTGCCTTGACTTGGTCTGATGATATTTGACAAAGAGCCTCTGGTATTGGAACAATGTTTCTCATTGGGAGTATAGCTAAGAAATCACCATTTTGTATTGCATTTCAGTTCTGCACAATTCACTTCTTAGTCACAGTTATTCAAGGAGGGCTCACTCAGTAGGCAAGCAGTTTCTGGTTGCACGAGCAAGCTGGTGAGAAATTACCGGTGTGAGTTCCCTAGGTATTATATGATAAGACACCTGGAGAGAGCTTTCTGGTTGCTTTTAAAAACAAGCAGTTTAAATACAAAGTTTTACATATGAAAGTAAAGATGGGTGCCATTATGGTTATAGCAAAAGTGGTTGATACCTTCCCTCAACCTTATTTTTATTTTTATTATTTTATGTGTATGGTTGTTTTGCCTGCAAAGATGTGTATGTGACACATCTATGAAGTACCTGGAGATGCCAGAAGAGATAAGATGCCTTATCCCTGGATCTGGAATTGTATGCAATATGGATGTGAACCAATATGTGGGTGCTGGAAATCAAAGCCTGGTCTTCTTCAAGAGCAACAAATGTTCTTAACTGCTTAGCTATTGTTTCAGCTTCCATTTATTTTTTTAAAACTTTGTTTCATGTTTCCCAGGATGGTTCTGAACCCAAGGATGACCTTGAACTTCTTTTTATTTCTTTTTTTCAAAATATATCTTTACTTATTTTTTGAGAACTTCAGGTGAGTATACAATGTGGTTTGAGCAAATCCATTCCTGAAACCTTTTAATAGGTATTAAAATTGTCACCCTCAACTTTCTTTTTATTCCTCAATTTGATTACCCAGCATTTGTTCTTCAAAGATACTCTATCCAAACTATTTAACATACATCTTATTGAACAGGATATCATCAGGGAGATAAAATTCAAAGAATATGATGCCCTTCACAAACACCACTTCTTAAAAGCCTGCTTTATCTGAATATCATGCCCATGCATGAAGAGGTGATGAGGAAGGAGGCAGGGTTACAGGTGAAACAATGAAATTTGTATGAGAGATGAGGGTAGATGGCGCCATCTAGAAGGCCCAGGTGGAGAGGGTAATGCAATTGCCACTCCCAGCTTTAAGAAGAGTACAAAGTTGTTGGTTTAAAATTAAAGCTGTACCCATGAAATCCATCCCATAACAGACCTATTCACGACACTGCAGGCTCATTAATTAAATGCTTTGTACTGTAGGCCCATTCATTCATGAAGTTGCTCTACCCTGCAAGCTCATTCATGATGCGCATCATACTGCTGACCCTTGGGACTCTGTAGGATCATTCCCCTTGATCCTGCATTCTCACTGTCTTCAGTACTTGTTCTTGCTCGTGAAAACTGGAGTCCAAGAAAGTACATTTTGATTCCCAGACTGACACTGAACAGATTCTCGTGTTTCTTTTTTAGCAAAAGTAATAACTTATTCAAGATAAGAAATGTAAAAACTAAAAACATTAAACATAGCCTATTTATGTTGTGCCATCGGTGCCTGCAAGCTCATGGATGAGCAATGCGTGTTTGTCTACTGAATTGCGGTCAGCAAGTCTAGAATCAGCTTTTTTATGAAGTCTGCTACAGAGAACATCAGGAAGGAAGAGGAGGCGTACAGAAAACATTTGTGATGAGACAGTACACTGGAGAGGAAGACACAGCGGGCATTTGCGACTTGCTGCCGAGAGAGGCTAGTGCTCTTTACCGCAATGAGGCCTCATTCAGGGTAGAATGTGAGGACACATTCACAGCCCTGCTCCCCTCCTGGCACAAGGCTAACACATTTGCTGCCATCGCACACTATATGGAGACCGTGACGAGAATGACACTCTTACCATCTGTTTTCTTTGAATCATTTCCGGTGCTGGAGTGATCCTTCTTGTCGACCTTATTTTTCCCATCTTTCAAGTCACCTGCAAACAAAAAACATGACAAACTGAGTGTGTGCAGCTGAGGAGGTAAAAACGCTTCCAACCTGTCAGGGTGAGACAGCACAGAGGCGTGAGAGAGCACATACCCTGGTATCTGCATCATCTGTGGCCACGTGATAGGTTCTGAAAATCGGATGACAGTCAGAAATGAAAACTAGAATATCCGCTCCAACAAGGTTGTACTTATGTCAAAGCTATTTTTCTCAAAGAGACAACTCAGTTCTTTTGTTTGGCTATGAAGTAAGGGAAAACCTGGAATTCAAGTAAGCTATACTAGTTAATAGCTAGCTAGCTATGTTAACTAATAGTTATGTTTTAGTTTCTTATCTGCAGAATGGGAATAATAATGTCTACTGTGCATACAGGATGGTGGGCAGATGCACTCGAGCCATTTAAGTGCTAAATGTAACACACGTTGTACTGCTCCAAGGCAGTGGTCCCTATTCTAAGATAGAGCTGCCTGTGTTATTCGAATTAATGGGCTTGTCAAACTATTGTTTTCCAAAGTTAAAAATACTATTATCACAAAGGTGAGCATACATACGTAAAGAAGGTACATAACTCATTGATGAGAAAGAGAGAGAGAACAAAGTGATCCTAAGGACAACCGAGGAAGTGGGTGTCTACAGGTGCCGTAGAAGTGTGTGAAAACAAGGCTGGAATAGAATAGACAAAGTGTTGATCACAAAAGGATAATGCACATGACCTTCAGGCAATCTTCTGAACAAGTCAGACTCTCTTCTCTACCAAATAACTTTACCATCATGTGAATCAAGTACCAAAAAGCAAATTTAAACACACCTGTATTCGCCAAAACTATGCGTCAGCAAGCTATGGTCCAATCTGGTAGGCCACCCATTACAGTCAATGACATGTTACTGACGCTCGGCAGGTGACTTACCCATATCTACCTATTGTCTGTGGTGGTTTCATTTTGCAACAACATAGTTGACTGTGTGTGGCCAAGACAGACAGCTTATGAATATTGCCCATGTGGCCTGCTATGGAACAAGGAGTTACCCCTTGTTGAGAATAGCCATCCTTGGGGATCTGTTTCATAAATGGAGTAACATTGAAGAGAACAGAGGGGTGCCTTGTTCCAGCCTCATTCCCAAGTTTTTGATATTTTTGTTACTAGTTTTACTAATGGCACCTTGTTTTCTCACCCTCATACAGCCAGGAATACCTTATTACTCAAATTCTACATAATCACAGCATTGATAAGATCCCAGCAGTAAGGTTTGCAGCGAGCTGCTCTGGCAGGATAAGTACGAGAGAAGAATTTCATCCTTTTGCAGTGTGTGCTGCAGTGTGCCAAGTGCTTTGCACATAATCACTGCATTGGCGTCTTACAACAACCCCAGTGTGAAGGATCCACAGTGGAGAGAGCACATCACAGACTCCTTAGGCAAGTCAGTGAGCTACCAGCTCACCTAGTGTTGGAGGATGCTTTCCACATGGAGACATCCCTAGGCAGCACCGTAGCCAGAAGAGCAAAAGCTGCCCCAGGGGACCACCACTAGTACATATTTCAGCCATAACTCTGGCCTCACCGTCTACCCTAGCCTTACATCTGCATCATCCACCTGACAGCGACTATCCGTCTGTCTGAAGTTACCGGTCAGAAAATGGTTTTGAATAAAGACCAATGATGCTTCTATAAAGTGACTGTGCTTGAGCTGATTTACAGGGAGTTGGCCCCAGGCAAGTATCAACACTTCCAGGGAAGAAATAACAGGATGCATGAATGGGTCCAGTTCCAGAGGCCCAGCTCTCCCCCACTGTGTCTGCAGCCTTCCTGTGCACTCACACTTTAGATTTCAGGCTCTCCAGTGCTGTTTGCATCTTAAAGGTCTTTTCCTTAGCTAGGAAGAAATGGTAACAGTAGGATAACTTGAGGCTATTTTTGGCTGTGATATATTCTATAGAATATATAGAATCCTTTCAACAACTACACCGACGGCTGGAAACTAGGCCTCATGACTCCACTGCCTGGCTTTGTGTGATACACACAGTAAGACTGACTTTTATACCTACAGCTGATTAGAAATGAGCATTTGACATGAATATTAGGTTGTATTCAAATTCCATTGTCCACAATAAAATACCACTTGGCTACAACCTCACTTATGTGTTCAAGAACTGTCCTTAGCTGAGGATGATGTTGAGTAGCTGTGACACAAAGTACGGGCTGTGAGGTCAAAGGGATTTAGTCTCTGGCCCATTACAAAAACACATACCATCCCTTGTCTTCTGCACAGTGTCAGGGTTTGACCTTCCTCTGGTTCCCACCTCTTCCTAACAGTACTGGGCTTGGCAGACAGTAAGCAAGAGTTGACTATAGAACAGAAAATGGGAATTCCCCAAAACCAAGGATTTCTACTTGATGAGTGCTTAAGTCTTTTAATATCAGAGTTTTAATTTTCCCATCTGTAACATGGAAATATATCTATGTTAGAATCTGTACGTATACCTGTGTGAATGTGTATGGACATGCATGTACATGGATGCACATGTGTGCACACACACCTGTGGAGGCCAGAACTTAGCCTTGTGTATCCTTCATGCACCATCAACCTTGTGTTTTGAGGCAGAGTCTCTCACTGGCTTGGCTACCTTGATTATTGCTGAACACTCACGAGAGGCTGGGGCTTTGAACGGGTTTTATATGTGCTTTACACAGAAGGGGAAGGTTGTATATTTTAACTAAGATCTCCAAGAAAAGAGAAGCAACAAGACTGTGACTTGAACACAGATCTGTTTGCAAGGGTGCCCTGTTATCCGGTCAGAGCCTGGCATTTGCAAGCTTCAGGAACAGATCTCCCTGCCCATCTGTAACAGCGGAGCTGGTTCTCTGTCTGGACATGCACCTTAATCTCTCCATCTCTCCAGCTGAAAGCCTCTCCCCAACCTGACTCAGACTAAAACACTGAAAATCAGAAACCATCCCCTTCTGAAGACACCACAGACTCTTTCCTCTTCTCTCTACCTCAGCTACCCACTGCAATCTCTTCCTTTGTGTAGGACTCTTGGGAAGTTTACCTGCTACTCTACATCCCTCATCTCTGCATCAGGTACACATTCCTTTAGGATTATATGTGAGGGTGTGAGAGTGTTTATTTCCCCACAGCATCACAGGTTTCCTCTACCCTTTCCATTCCTACACCCCTCAGACTAACATAGAGTTTGACAGAAAGTTGGCAATAAATGTTTATTGCATTAAATACAAGAACCCATCAATTGTCTGAAAATGCCAGTGGCTCATTGCCCTCAGTTCAGCTGGACCATTTGGATTTTAGAATTGAAAATCTATAGGAAAGGTTTTCAACTACAGCCAAACCAGGCTGACTGGTCACCTACTGTGTGTGCTTTAGCCATTTGAAGGTCCAGACACACACTTTGGGAACAGGTCTCCTGAAGACTGGAGCCTGGCCTGGTTAAAGGGATGGGGTATTTATTTGGAAGGTTGACTTTTCTCTACTCATTTTGGAAGTTAGCAACCCAGGCCAGGCTTGTTCTTAGGAATTTGCATCCCTTGTGAGAGTCTCCAGGGCATCAGGAAAGGCCAGAGAGGTGGAGCTAAGCTGGTGGCCATAGGATGGGGTCCTGATTGCATCCATGGAGGAACATGGAGCCATGGGAGCTGCCAGCAAAGGGAGGGTGTCACCAGGTTCTGCTTGTCACATCATTGCCACCCCCAAAGAGCCTTTCCCAGGCAGTCCCTTCTCACCATTCTGCTGTTTTTCTCCTGCCTTGTCGCCTTTGGGGTTCTTCGCCTTGTTTGTACGGGCTCCATTGACTTGACCTTTCGCTTCTCCTGATGTCTGCTTCTCAGCTTTGCCTTGTTCAGTTTGGCTTTGGGCTTCCATTTCCTTTTGCTTTTCCTCCGCAGCCAGGCGATCCTTCTCTTCAGCTTCCTTTTTGGCTTTCTCTTCTGCATCCACAGCAATGAGGAAAGAGAAGGAGAGGCCTACCATTAGGACAATGACCTTTTTGGAAACATAATCAACGACAATGTTCACGGGAAACTAGTACAGTAAAATGACCTAAGTGGCCTATTGAGAGTGTTGGATATATTCTTGATTAACTCAAGTCAGACTGGCATGTGTATTTAGCATATCGATAAGACAGATCACATCTGAAAGCAGTGAGTTGGGAGGGGGCCTGGAGAACATAATAATGGCAATGCAATCCAGACGGCAAGCTGTTCTTTCTGCTGATAACCTCTAGCGAATGTGCCCTCATGCAAGATTCTATGCTCAGCGGTCTTCAAAGGTTGATTCTGATCATCCTGAAAGTTAGTTTGTAACCCTATTTTATGGGTATGAAAATGAAGACTAAGAGACATTATCACACTTCCTCCAACCACAGTAAGACACATATATGTCACACACACGTATATATATGGTATTTTATATATGTATATATAAATGCATATGGTATTTTATATGTATATATGGTGTTTTACATTATATGTATATATAGTATGTAATATATATATATATACACGCATATATGTGGTATTTTATGAGGTTTGCTTAGAATACAGAACCCAAACATTAACAACTGAGTATGGAACAAAAATTTGGGGGAAATAATCATCATTAGAAGACTACAAAATCATGCCAGAGTTTGTGGATTTAAAACTAGGAAGAGGTAGGCTAAACCTCATAAAACTAAAAGCAAGTCCCCAATCCTCAGGATGAGAGGGAGCCTTCAGTTTGGTCAGGAATCTGCTCTGGGTCGTCCCTTTGACTGATTAGCCATATTATTTCTAACACAACTGACTGACTATGTGCTTAATGAAAATACAGTGTAAGTGCATACTTATATCAAATATTTATGAAAAGATTGACTCATTCATGCAGCTGGTACTTGCTGAGCAGCTATATTTTCAAGAACAATTTTAGAAACTGGGGATATGACATCAAGCATGACAGAACCATGGAGAACCTTATAATTGAATAAACAAATGGCTAAGTTTGAATGTTGAAGGCTTATTGGAAAAACTGGTTACAGAGAGATAGGACAGGATGAAACACAGTCAGCACAGGGCAAGAGGTGGCTTTAAACAGAGGTGTGGAGAAGCTTTTCTTGAGAAGATAGAATTTGACCAAGTGATGAGAAGCCAACTAGAAAATTATCCGTAGAAACTGTAGCATTCATCAGAGAAACTAAACAACATGGAGGATATACGAGGAACATGCTCCTTGTGTTCATGGATGTTGAACTGGCCCCTGAAGGAGATTTGGCAAGGAGTTAGTCATAGATAAAGTGCTCAAATGATCAAGGACAGGTACAGATCAGATCATGGAGGCTGGAGGGCATAGCAGGTCTGGACTCTAGAGAACAGCACATAAGAAAGGCCCCTAAAACAGCCAAACTCCTTGTAAGTTCAAGGGGTTTGCCCCACAGAGCTCACTCTAAGTATACTCCTGACATTATCAACCTCCTCTAGGAAAAGCATTATTGCATTTTTTTTCTACAGATGAGTGAAAAACTCCTTACCTCATTACTAGGGGTCTCTGTCTTCCCCTTGGGTTAGTGTTGGTCTTTGAACTGTTTTCATACAGTATGATTGCTTTAATCCAGTGAGCCCCGGAGAGCTGGTGCATCTCATGTTTTCCTTTGTGTTAGCTGCTAAAGCACTCCAAGTCCCGTTCTAGCCCAGTTTGGTGGGTTCACACAGCTCTATGACATGCATTTTTGTGCCTATTCATCATGCCTAACTTTATTTTTACTTTCTAGGCCCTTCTACTTGTTTATTCCAGGGGTCTTCTTTAACATGGCATGGTGTTTTTATTCATCCAAATCCAAGACCTGGCCTCATCTCAAGCAAATATAACCAGATTCTACAAGGAGAGGGATTAGGATAGGATATCTCAAATGTTTCCTGGGCAATTTTGGCACACAGCAAGTATTGAGAAGCTCTGATGTCAAGTCTATTAGCCTTTCAGTGCGTTATAATATTCTTCCCCTCAACAAGATGCATTTACAAATGACAGTGAAAGCGTATAAAATATTTCTTTACAAATAACAATCATATCCATACCTAGCACTGTATGACTTCTGACTTCCACAAAAACGTAAAAAAAAATGTAGAAGAACACCCTTAAATGTGGACATGCCAAGCACAGGGTTGTGGGGAGGACATTCATTCAGGCTTCCTTATATCCCTAGGTATTTTGAGGATAGGGCAAATATCACACTCATTGCTGTTTGGCATAATACATAGCATACATCATGTGCTGCTGAAGGTTTTGATAAAGCCATGAGATGCTGCTCATGCCCACGATTTACAAGAACTATCAGTGTAACCTAGCACGTTAGACTGATACAACACCCAAGTATACAGACTCTGAAAGTAATTCTGAAAGTAATGCTGTGCAAACATTACCTTCCTTAACTTAACAATCAAGGTAAGAAGATGACTATTTTTTCCTGTTATACTCATAGATCAGTGAAACTTTCTCCTGAGCATTGTGGAATAAATACAGAATCCACAGACAATGTACAGAGAGTGAAAGACCTTGAAACACTCAACCCTTAAATGGGGTGTCTCCGTCATATCCTTCCACTCAGGGCTCAGGGAAACAAGCAGAAGAAGAGTCAGAAAGAGCATAATAGCCAGAGGGCACCGAGGACACCAAGGAAACAAAGCCCTCTAAATCGACATGATCAATGCACATATGAATTCACAGAGACTGAGGTTGCATTCACAGGGCTTGCAAAGATCTGCCCCAGGTTCTCTGTGTATGTATTATGGCTTCCAGTTTAGTGTTTTATGGGAATTCTGAATGCAAGAACAAGTGGGTCTCTGATGTTGGTTCTTTTGTTTGTCTTGTCCAACTCAATGGATAGCTTTTGTTTTATCATATTTTATTTAATTTTGTTATATTTTTTAAAAGATGACTATATTTATTAGACAGAGGGAAACAGAATTAAGGAGAGGCAGCCATTTATATTTAGAATGCACTATCAGAGAAGATTAGCTATGGCCACCTTCAGAGACTCATTACTGCGTTACTGAGTGCAGGGCAAACTTCCAACACTCAAAATACCTCCAAGTTGAAAAGCATTTAAATAAAACTGGAAGCTGTTAAATTGCACTTTACTATGGAAGATCATACAATATTATCTTGGAAAGAAAAACTCGTTTGACAACTGAGTCAGACCAATTTTTCATGGGAGATGTAGAATAACAACTGAGAAGAAGAGGAGGGAACATTCCTGATGCAATCCCGTATTTGCTCAAGGGTAGCTGACATGGAAAAGCTATCTTAAGTTAACAAACGATAGCTCTTTTTAAAACACGATCAAATCAGATATGAGCGTATCCCACAGCATGAATCCCTTCTGTGCAAAAACCTTCTAATAAATTCTCACGATGGCCCCACAATGCCCTATTCACCCCACAATGCTCTGTTCTCTGGCTTGTGTGTGTGTCATCAGCCACAGAGTATACAAAGAGCTGTTAGTGATGACAGAGAGACAACAGCAAACACATATAACACTAAAATCATATCTGCACAAGGTTGATTACTTTCCAACTGCAATCAGATTCCTTAATTTGCTTAGGGTGAATTTATTGGTATAAGTACCATCGCTCAAGAGCAAGACCAGGTCAGTGAGACACTGCCGGTTTGTACAGACTGCATGTTCCAGTAATGGCATGGATACAAGGAAGTCATTTATCAGGTCTTAGATTTAGAATCCTTGGTATCCCAAAGCTTCCTGATGTGTAGGCTATAAACTTTATGATCTGTTTTCTTTTGCTCCTCTTTCATCCTATCTTGGGTTGATGTGATACGAAAATAACCAACGCAAAGCAGCTCAAGAGTTCTGGTGTGACAGAGTCCTTGGGATCTGTAAATCACGCTCTTCCCACAAGCGTTGGGGCTGCTCACACTGACTGCCCATACAGTCTTGAAAATACACTTGTGTCTTTATTCAGTGTCCTCTGTAAGGAATGACCTTATAGATCTACTCTGAGCTGCTGACTTAGATGGTAAAGACAGAGAGATGGGTGGGGGGACAGGATGGGAATAGGAATATGAGACAAGAGATAGGAATCTAACTGGTTGACAGAAGCATATATACATAACATCTCTCAGTTATGTCCATACAGAAACAAGGAGGGCACTGAGGGCACCTAAGAGCTCAGAAGCTGTCCTTTTAACAGCTTCCTATGTACACTAGTTGATAGAAAATGTCAATCAAAAGCAAAAATCCTAAACTGAGAAAAATGTGTCAATGGTATATAATGAAATTACAAACCTTCTTGCTAAAATAGAAATAAATGTTAAAGATAAAAACTAAGTGTTTATTTAGAAATAATGTGCTAGGCTGGAAAGTTGGCTCAGTGGCTCAGTGGCTCAGTGGCTCACTGGCTCCCAGAGCACCACATGTTAGCCTGGCAGCACCTCTAACTCCAGTTTGAGGGAAACTGATTCTCTCTTACGATCTTTGAGGGCATCAGGCACACACACACACAGTACAAATATATATACACAGGCAAAACACTCAACAAAAGCTGAGTGCTGATAAGCAAGCAAAAATGAATGTCTCAGCAAGTGTGGAGAATCATATGTGACACATTATCTCATTTACTGAGACTCACTGTCCAATAAAGAAACGATGTTTTTGAGAGAGTAAATGTAGGTAATATAACTAGAGATGAAGAAAGGACAATGGCACATGACAGACTAGGGCTGGGTAGAAATGGCAGGGCACTTTGACAACTAAAATATTATCCTTAATATGTAAAAATTGTTATGACTCAACAATAAGAATGTGGATACCCTAATGGGAAATGACAGTAGAAAGAAATGGGCAGCTTCACTGTTATTGCAGCTGAGGGAGAAAATTTGATTAAAAAAAAAAAAGGCCATGGAGAAATTTAGCATAAAAAAATTTAAAGTTCTTGTCTCTGTTGTCAGAAGAATCCCATAGATTCTTTTGAACTTTCATGTTGATAACTTTATTACATGCATCAATGACTTGGAACCCTAACACACTTAGTAATGGAGGAATATCTCAATGATTGTATCCCAGACATTACATCAGACTATTCAGCATCAGCAAAAAATAAATGTCCAAGGTATGAAAAATTAGAATGTAAGTGTCACTGCATTAAAAAACTGATTTCTATCTGTTTCTATCTAGCTGAGCAAAATTAGATTGGTTCAAAGCACCGGCAAAAGTTACTGACATCTAGATAGGGTAAAAAGAATGTATTCTCTTCTTCACATATATTTAAATAGTACAGCATTTATGAACTACACACATTATTCCATTATCAGGAAATTAACATGCAAAAAGTATTAAGTACTAGGTGGAGATTAATAAGTATAGATTATAAATATCAATTATTATACCCTTAAAGTTTAAGGTGGAAATGATGTTTGACCCAGAAAACTACACAAAGTGTTGATTACATTTTTCCTAATTAGCATAGATTCTACAGAACTTTGTAATTCAGCCTGAATAACATAACTTAAACTTTATCTTATTTTCTAACAATATGTGCTCAAATGCCCATAGAAGGCAACTTTTCTCAAAATTAGAGTCCTTTGAGGTACAAAAAAAAAAAAAAAAGCCAATGAGAAAAACAGAAAAACAGCCTGGGATCATTTACTCAAACTGACCATTACCAACGTAACTGCAAACCAGATTTCTCCTTCACATCAGCCTGTCGGTGAACACACAACTCTGAGATGGAAAGTGTGATCTGTGTTGAGTTGACACTGTCACTGTCACAACCAGTGTTTTAACACTGCTACACACGGTCAGGCTTCCTCTCCACTGTGTTTAAACAGCAGCTCCTTCCTGCCAAGCACCACGTGGGCCAGTTCTGTTCCCAGTGTTTTCTATGTGTCCTTCAGTTCAGTTCAGTTGGTGATAACTCTGAAATGTACAGGACTGTGTCTAGAATGGAGTCTCAAGGAATGTCCCAGAATAAAACTGTGCAAGTTGGGATTCAAGTCATTTCCCTGATAACTAAATATGTCCTCCATATCCAACTATGTGCACCTAAATATATATAACCTAGGGGGCTGAGCCTTGTTCCTTTTGCTTTGGTGTGTTGCTGCGGGAAGGCTTACAACTAATAACTACCCACCTACAGCGGCGTGGCCTCATAGACTATTTACCAGGATGCGTCCGGCCCTTCTCTGCGCCCCCTGGGCCCCTTTTCTTGGGTTCAGTTTTGTTCTGGATCACATCTTCAGCCATCGTTCATGCAGAAAATCCTGATCTGTAAGTTTTACCCCTTAACAAATGTCTGTCTATTTCTTAGTTCTGAGCCAGTGTGGGATTCCTTTTTTAAGCATCCGATCTCTCAACCATCAGGTGTGCACATTTTCTTTCTTCTGTGTGTATGTATGCATGTGTGTGTGTGTGTGTGTGTGTGTGTGTGTGTTTTCCTCAAGTGTTATGCCACCTTTTTTTTACTCCCAAGACAGGGTCTTTCACTGGCCTACGGCTTTTTATGTGGGATAGGCTGGCTGGGCAGTGAATTCAAGTGAGCAGCCTGTCTCTCCTGCTCACCATGTTCCCGTCTGTGCTCTATGCACTAGAATCCAGTTCGCGAGCTTCGGGCAAGGGACTAGAGGTTTAGGAAACACATGCAGAGACAGATGAACACACGGACCTCTAATCACTGGTACAAAAGCCCCTCTGTAATAGCACCATGGAGGCTTAAATACCCTGCAGTCAATGGCCAACAGGTGGAAATCCCATCCTCTGATCCTCTAGGCACAGCTTCTAGTAACTTCAATTAGAAGGTTCTAGACAGGGAAGAGCAGCTGAAGGCCAGGACTCAATTGGCCCCAATATGTCTCTTCTTCCCCATCACTGGAATTACACAAACATACCACTGTTCAGGCTTCATTTATAAGTGTGTTACCCTGTGGGCTATCCCCTTCACCCCTCCTGTACCCATTTCTAATATGGTCAGGCACATTCCAGCATCCTTCAAATTCTATCTACTGAAGGTCTTCCTGAAGGCTCCAACCAAGCACAGTTAGGGGCAAGTCCTTTCACACTTCTTAAAATACTTTCTGTATCCCTAGCTGCAAAGCTAGGGCATTTTAAAACGATGAGGTGTTTACCGTCCCTTTGAAAGGACACCACCTAATGTTTCCCCAGGTGATTAGTTCAAAAGGTAATTTCAGTAACAAAGATAATTGCAAGCAAATGATTTTGAATGACCTCTTTAAATTGTGTTTTGTCAGAAATGGGATGTCCAAGAGTAATGATCATGTGAGAGTGTTCTTTTGATGGTGCAGTAGCCTGCCAATAGGGAGATTTAAATGCTTGAGACATTTGAATGGTCCCCGAGTGCTTACAATTGAAACATACAGCAGCTGTTGACACCCTCCATAGCTCAAGGTGCAACATCTGTCCCCATATGAGAGTATTTCAGTCATGCTCCAAGAACACCATAAATCTAAATCTCTTGCCTTACCTGCACCGGTTTTTGCAGTATTTTGCTGGCAAGTCAGTGTTGGGCCCTTGAAACAACCCTGCAGGGTGCTTCTCTCCACCAGTGTGGGGACCACAGAACCTACTGCTAGGACTTAGAGTTGGTTGTCCCCTGGCTTACCTGCATGGAAACATCAGTCCCTGGATTTAAATGTGGATTGGAAGTGGGGAGATGATGAGGACTTGACCACACCTCAAAGGTGAGACCTCCACAATGACTTTAATTGGGTTATAGGCATAGAGATTCAAGTTTGCACACTGGCTCTGTCTCTTCACGTGATGTCTTCCACCATGAAGCAAGCAGACCAGATGCCAACATCATTCTCTCGATTTTTTGTAAATTACTGAGTATCAAATATTTGGCTGCAGTGATAGAGAACACCCCAAGACACCAGCCATTCTATCTTCCTTCCACAGTGCTGACACAGGAGAGTGCCAGCTCAGGTGTTGCTGGAGGACACAGTCTCAACAACTTTGGCCACTCGCAGGGTTTAGGGCTCAGGGATGTTGATAATAAGTACAAGGTCTTGACTGACTTCTTACTCAGTTTTTGTATCAAACCCTAACACAGTGGTTCTAAACCTTGCAATGCTGTGAGGCTTTAATACAGTTCCTCATGTTGTGGTGTCCCCCAACCATGCAATTATTTTTGTTGCTACTTCATAATTGTAACTTTGTTACTATTATTAATCATAATGCAAATATTTAATGCAGACTATCTGACGTGACCCCTGAGCAAGGGTTGTTTGACCCCCCCCAAAAAGGGTCATGACTCACAGGTTGAGAACTACTGCTCTAACATAAGTGCCCTTCCTATGAACCCAGAGTATAGGGAATTCCATAACAGCCCTTGGCCCTGGGCATGGAGTCTAGAACATAGATGGCATACAATCGGTGCCAACAGACACTGAGTGCCGTTGAAGGTTCACCTCTGCAAGGCCGCTGCAGTCATCCCTATTACTGAGCATCAATTGCCATTTCACATGTGTGACCCTCCCTGAGATCTGGCATCACAGATCCATATCTTCCTGTGTGCATGTGACCCTCCACCTAAAATAAACACTGTGATCATGTCATAGGTGCCAGTCATGCTCAGTAATACAAACAAATATGAACATACGAATTAAGCCCCAAGAAGCATGAATTTTCATATTTTTCTGTGCGTAATAGCAGGAGTCACAGCTTTACCGGTCTGAACTTTGATGAGATTTGCTTCAGGAAATTTCAATGTACTTACAAGTTATTATCACCTCAAAACCATGAGCAAACAACGTCAGTTCCAGGGTTGGAGCAATGAGGAAAACCCTGAATTTGACAGGATGTTTAAAGTTCCTGGAAGGAAATTAAAGTTCCTCATACCCTAACATGAGAGGCAGGCAGCTGTTGACAGGGCTTTACCTAGGCAAATGAGGACTGAGAGGCTTTACCACTGTGGCAGCTGACATGAAATGTAATAGAAGGTAAGCAGAGACCAGGAAATGCCAATCCAACGCCTGTAGAACTCCACACTGGAAAGCGGTTTAGCTGTGCTACACAAGGACACAGGGAAGAGATGCTTGGAGGTCTGCCACATTCTACCATGCATTGGACAGAGTGAGAATCGGCAGTTGGTAGTACCTAGCATTCAGCACCTCCAGTCCCTGGAGCAAAGTGCTTCACTTGAAAGGCCTGCAAATCACAAAAGGTAGCCACTTGTTTTGCAAGTGGATACAGAGTTTGTCTGGATAATTCTAGAAGAAGATTCTTCCTGAAGAGCACATTACCTTTGGGCACCTTGGCCCGCCACCGCTCCCGATTGATGTGCACCACCTCAGTCCAAGTGGCTTTAAAACTCTTGTAGTCAACAGGGATGACAGAATTGTTGATGGGAGCGCTTCCTTCTGACCCAGAACTCTTGACACCTGCTCGCTTTGCATCTGAAGAGTTGATGCTGTTCAAACTGGAAAACAAAAGAAATCATACCGAAGATGAGTTGGCGCCAGAGTCTGCAGCATGCAGGCAGTGAGAAAGCCCACAAAAGACTGGGTAGTATTTGCTGAGTTGCCATCATGATACCCCAGGGCCCTGAGCCTTGTGGAGCTGCAGTTTTACATATAAGACAGGTAGGAAATTCTAAGCTTTAGAAGAAAAAAAAATACAAACACTGTATCTTCGTGTATGTCACAGTATTCCTTACATCTGTTTATGCTGACTGGGCATTCTCTCTTTTGGTACCCAGAATCCCCTGACATTTATTTGTTCTATTCTGTTCTTTGAAATGAACTAATTTAAACTTGGAGCTTTATTTGTTTCATGATCCATCTACTTGCTACCACACTGTTCATCTTTCCAATTTACTCAGCAAACTGGTCCTTTTTCTCCAGCTCTACCCTTCTGGATTCATGATCCCTCTAATTTTATGATTATTAAATTACATTTGTTTGTTTGTTTATATGCACATGCCAGGACACACATGAGGAAGTCAGAGAATAATATCCAGGAAGTGTTTTCTTCTTTGATCAGGTGAGTCCTAGGCATCAAACTTGGATCATCAGGCTTGATGACTTACTTGAGCCATTTTTTTGGCCTTCAGAATCCCTCTAATCTGGGTTCCCCAAGCTCAGAAAAAGCAATGATTCCTTTATGTTTCTGAGGGACGGTGGATAACCAGACCATGCCAAAGATCTAATTTTAAATTAACTCTATTTTGTGCTTTAACCATGGGATATGTTGCAAATATCAGAAGGTAGCATTCTTCTGATGGAGTATTCTATGTTCTGAAGTAGCTAGACCAGTTAGTGCCATAAATCAGATCTGAAAATGATAATGAAGGGTTACTAGAGTTCATTCTAGCCTGTACCTGAAGAGATAAGAAAGGATGTAGACCTATCAAGGGCTTCTGTCCTTGACGTTTAGCATCTTCAATGTGGGTTCATTCATCTTAAGCAACTTTGAGTTCCTCCTTCTTTGGTCTCTCCCTATTTATTTATCTCCCTGCACATTGCCTCTCATATTTTAAAATCAATTCTACCTTCATCCTTTATAACAAAGCACAAAGCTTTGCAAAGACGTGGAGACAAGCTGTCAATTACAATGGGTTTAGCAACAGCTACTAGTCATGCTAGGAATAGTGAAGTGGTGGTGGTAGTGGTGGTGTTTTGTTGTTGTTGGTGGTGGTGATGGTAGTGGTGGTTGTTATAGTAGTGATGATGTTGGTGGTGGTAGTAATAGTGGTGGCGGTGGTAGTGTTTTGTTGTTGTTGGTGGTGGTGATGGTGGTGGTAGTGATGGTGGTAGAGTTGGTGATGATGGTGATGGTGGTGGTGGTGATGGTGGTGATGGTGGTAGAGTTGGTGGTGGTGGTGATGCTGGTAGAGTTGGTGGTAGGAGCAGCTGTAGCCATAGCAGTGGTAGTGGTGATGGCAGTGCTAAGATAATGGTGGTAGCAAGAACAGAGGTGACAGCAGCTGTAGTAGCAGAATCAGCTGTGTCACTAAAGACTAAGGGCCAGCTTTACAGTAGCCAGCACTTCTACCATGACAGGTCTTCCAATGATCTTATAAATACTGAGTCATTCAATTAACCTGTGAGCATTGTAATCTTATTTTCTCAAATGAGTAACCCGAGTGTGGTGGGAAAATCGTCTCAATGAGGGATTATCTAGTTCAAGTTTATCAGTTTGCATCTTGGTGGATCATTATCTTGATTACATTAATTGAAGCAGGTAGATCAAGCCCACCATGGGATTTCCATGGGTTTGGGTCCTGGACTGTATAAAAGAGGAAAAAACAAAGTAGTGTAAATATATGTAAATTGATTCTCTTTGCTTTTGAGTATGGGTTTGACTAGCTGCTTCAAGTTCCTGCCCTGACTTCCCCACAATGAAAGACTAAAACCAGGAATTATAAGTTGAATAAACTCTCCCTTCCAGTTGCTTTTTTTAAAAAAAAATTATTTATTTATTTATTTATTTATTTATTTGTTTATTATGTATACAATATTCTGTCTGCGTATATGCCTGAAGGCCAGAAGAAGGCACAAGACCTCATTGTAGATGGTTGTGAGTCACCATGTGGTTGCTGGGAATTGAACTCAGAACCTTGGGAAGAGCAGGCAATGCTCTTAACCATTGAGCCATCTCTCCAGCCCCCCTTCCAGTTGCTTTTGTCTATGTTTCTATCACAGCCTCGAGGAAGGGAACTAGGGCACTGAGCTGATTTCTGTAAGACTACACAGGGCAATAAGCTGTGGAGTCAGGGCAGTAAGCCTGAACTCTGGCTGGAGAATCTGACCTCGTACACCTCTACATTTGATATCCTTATGCTTTATGCTGTGATTCACGGCACTAGAAAACACTTAAATGTGAGGTGTTTTGTTATATTGTTTTTAAAATCTGTACTCCTCTTTCTTCCTGAATAGAAATGAAAGTCAGCCTCACTTCTGATCAAAAGCCTGACCATCTGCAGAATCAGGAACAAGGGCTTTCTGCACTACAGAAGTGTACTGATCAGTGCTTCTGGAAACAAAGGCTTCAGAGAGTGGGGCATCCCACTCTGGCCTTGGGTCACCTGTTATGGGCCAGCCTAGCAAGCATAGAGAGTATTATTCTAAATCCTCTGAAATAAAGAAGGAGGCAGACATGTCTTCTGTAAGAAGCAAGAGAGGTACTCCTCATTGTGACAGCACACATCCTTCAACAAAAGAATTCTACCACCACCCAGATCTCAAACTTCCCCACTGACCTTGAGCGCCTCTGGCCAGTCCCACCAGTCTGGGAGGTTTCATCGATTAACGGACTCACAATCTTCTCAGTCATATCCGTGAGCACAGTAAAGGTGGGTTCCACAATGAAGTCAATAAAACCTACAAAGAAGCAGCAGTGGCTCAGATAACAGCATGCTAACAGGGATCAGTCCTGGTTTCTCACTAGAAACCAATTACTCTTTTCTTCACCTATCCACCAAACAAAGAAAACACCACCTCTAGACGGGAGCTCCAAATCAGTCAAGAACTAGTTGCTCTCATTCTTATTGAATGTCACGAGACAATTTCATTTCCCTTATATAATTCCCTTAGGACTTTTTAATCAGTGATTCAATTGAAAGCTTAAAAATACAATTTAACACCTGCTATATAATAAACAGTGTGATGTGTTTTATTAAAGGTTGAAGATGAATAATGCAAACCAATAGTCTACAAAGAATTTGTAGGTAAAATTTAATGGGGACAAAAAGGAGCCCTAGAGTTTCTGCAGGGCCAAAGGAGAAGCCCAGATGAAGGTTCTTAGGAAAGAAATAGAAGAGAGGAGATGTTTTGCTCTTATAGAGACCAGTGAACAGTTATGTGGAGGTTTTGTGTTTGAGCCAAGCTCTCAAGGATGGATGTTAAGAACAATGTGACTATTCACTCTGGACAGAGGGACTTTCAGAGGTTGAAAAGTATGCAGGTGATGACTGTGCAACCACTGGGTGGAGGGAAATGCTCTGAACTTTGAAAAAAAAAAAACGTTTGGGGAGGCCAGTTATCCACAGTTATGTCAGGAAAGGAAGCTCTTAAGGTTTAGAACCAGAGAATTACTGGGCTAGCTTGACAAAATCTGAAAAGCTTCGTGATGATAGATTTAAATGAACTTTGATCCAGTCCATGCAGCAAGAGGCATGGAAAGGCAGTGAGGAGGAAAGACAGAGAGTGAGAAAATCTTGCTAGGAGTTTTACACTGGGTACCAAACGTATACATAGTACAGCACAGGAGGAGGTGCTGCTCTAGAGGCCCGAGCAACAAAGCCAAAGAAATGAGAGACAGAGGATGAGCTCCAAGCTGCTGACCTGAGATACAGGAGGCAGAATCGAGTGGGAAGTTAAAAGAAAGAATTGGAAACTGCATTAGGATCCTTACTGCGATGAAACTTTTTAAGATGGGCAAAGAGAGCAAAAGCTGGCTTAGAGTGATTGTCTTAACTCAAAAACAAATGACCAAACAAACAAATAAAACAAAACCATTAACAACAAAAAGAGAAAAACAAGAAAATTAGATGAGTATTTGTTACACATTAAGTGAACATAGTACACACATTGGTACTAATAGGGATGGAGTAAGTCATCCATAGTCACACATAAGGAAGGAGACAAACACCCACTAAGGGAGCTACTGCCCACTTCTTTGAGTAGGTATCTGGAAATGCAGCGATGAATATTTAGTTTTCACAGTTACTGGTGCTGATACTCATCAGAGAAGGATGCTGAACAAACTGTAGTGTAACCCACAAAATAAGAACTGTCTATCTGATAAGGAAACAATTTTTAAAAAATTGTTTTGCAGTTTACAACAATTTAATTTGGGGTTCAAACTGCAGTATTTGATGGTAACCAGAATTCTTTTGTTATGCCCCTATTTCTTACAGGAGAGTGTAAGCATGTGTGCCATTCTTGGCAGAATGTAAAATCCTGATTTTATTTTTCTCTATATTGTCTCTCACTGTACCCTTTTCCCTACCAAGTTGGAGCTACTGAGAATTCACTGACCATATTAAGCAGTTTATAATCTCTCTGCTTTCTCTATCTCCTGTGTGTGGTGTCATTTTACCCAGCACTAAGCAATTGCTAACATGTACCTTATCTATCACTACCTGCCTAGACACTACTTGAATGCTTCCTCAGATATAGCTCAAATATCACTCCTTAATAAGTCTGTGTGGACTACCTGAATCTAACGGTTCTCATATGTTGTAAGAGGGCTGCTTGTTTGTTTCCCAGCGCCCAGAAGGTCAGATCCGAAATAATCACACAGAAACTATATTATTCAAAACACTTGGCCCATTAGCTCTAGCTTCTTATTGGCTAATACTTATATCTTAATTTAACCCATTTCTAGTAACCTGTATACCACCACGTGGCTGTGGCTTACTGGGTAAAGTTGCCAACATCTGTCTCCATAAAGCCACATGGCTTCTCTCTGACTCCGCCTCCTTTCTCCCAGCATTCAGTTTAGTTTTCCCCACCTACCTGAGTTCTGCCCTATCAACAGGCCAAGGCAGTTTCTTTATTCACCAATGGTATTCACAGCATAGAAGGGCAATCCCATATCACTCATACTGTCTATGTATTCCATTGTAAAATGTTAAGATTCTACCTTCAGCATGCATAGTGCTCTAGCATACACTGTTTCCTAATATCTTACCTACCCACTGTCTAATACTAGTTTAATAATGTCCTTAAAAGTAGGTACCATGTACAGTTAGTTTTTTTTTTACTTTATAGCATCTATTATAATTCCTAGAGAGCCCAGTACCTGACAGGAACTCAAGACACACCATGATAAAACAAATAAAACAATGAAGGTGCACATAAAGTTGAAGCAAATACCAGTCACGGTGACACATATTCTCAGTCTTAGCTCCTGGGAATCAAAGGCAGGCAGGTCAGGAGGCCAAGGGCCTTAGCTATACAGTCAGTTCTTGGTCAGCCTGGCTCATGGTTAGCTTTAGCTAAATGGCCAGATCTCTGCTCCTAAAGTAGGGAGGTCAAAAAGGCAGGAATTCTTTATTAAATAGATTTTTCAGTAATCATAGACTCTTCTAAAGTAGAGTTCACTCATGACATTTATTTTATGTGATGGGTGACACTGTTTCTCTTTCCCACAGCTGAGGGTTTTTGTAATACGTGTAATATGATATTATGGTAATTTTTTTAACCAAAGAAAAAGAGTGAGGAAATGAAAACAATTTAAAAGAGGCCTCCCAGGAAGGAGGAAAGTCCTAAACTTAGACAAAAGAAGCATCAAGAAAGAGAGATGGTCAAGTTGTGTACTCCTTTAATCCCAGTACTCAGGAGACAGAGGCAGGTGGATCTCTAGTTTGAGGCCAGCCTGGTCTACAGAGTAAGTTCCAGGATAGCCAGGGATACACAGAGAAATCCTGTATTAAAAAGAAGGAAGAGGAGCAGGAGGAAGAAGAGGAGGAGGAGGAGGAGGAGGAGGAGGAGGAGAAGAAGGAGAAGAAGAAGAAGAAGAAGAAGAAGAAGAAGAAGAAGAAGAAGAAGAAGAAGAAGAAGAAGAAGAAGAAGAAGAAGAAGAAGAAGAAGAAGAAGGGGAGATGGTAAGATGACTTCTAGTATTGAAGCATAATAAAGGCACTCAAGCAAAATGGGCTTCCTAACTACAGTATGCACAGATATTTCCTTGGGTACTTGAAGTCCTCTTTCCTTGGGGCAGGAATGATGGAGACTCCAAAATTCCTCCATCTAATCGACCCCCAGAAGAAGCCACGGCCCAGAGAGAATGATGTCACTTCAGCCTTCCAAAGGCTGGCAGAAATGAGCCAGACTCCCAGCTGGGATCACCAAGCACAGTGCCCTGCCCACCACGGATATACCATCTGATGCTCCTTCTAAGCAGCTGGCAAATACCTACCCACTTGTGACTGAGCGACCATGGTTGACTTTCTGTCACAGAGAGGAGAAAACGGCAGCCCCAGCTCAGCTTCTCTGTCACCCTAGAAAAACACAAGGTCACAGTAAACAAAAGAACAGTGGGCTGAACAGCCCCGATTTTATTTAGCAGCCTCAACTACCACTTAGGCCACTTATCTTTATTTTAATTATTACAATTACATTGTATAATAAGTCCTGGTGGGACTTGCTCCTCTAAACTAAAAACACCAAGAAGTGGTGGCTTCCGTAATCATTCCCTCTGAATGCAGTCTCATGCTGTCCCAAAGAAAGCTTCACAGGGTAGCAATAGGTTCCCCATGGAAAACCAGGCAGCAGTCCATGTGTCCTGTGGCCTGGGGCCAAAACCACAGTCAGAATGGTCTTGTTCCCCACAGTTTTCCTGCGGCTACCTGTGGCCTTCTTCTAGCCTGAACTCCCAGTGGTAAGCTGTGTCCGAAAGGGAAATTCAAACTGACTAACATGGCTTTGTCTCCTAACATTAACTAAAGTCACAAGCAAAGGGAGTACATGCTTCTGTGTTTCCCACCCTAATACTTGATATACTGTGAACAGTGGACTAGAAAGAACCAGTTATTCAACAATAATACAGCATAGCTGTGCAGACACAATGTTCTTCACGGTGTCCAAAAGCACCACTCTAACAAAAGTGCTATGGGAATCTAACTGTTGGTGGAGATGGCCTTTAAAAACATGCAACACAGGTTCAATTTTTCCGTCATGTCTAGAGGAAGGAGACAAACATATTTCCTCGTGTCTATCAACGGACTGTGTTCTTCCTTTTCTGGTAGGAAAAAACTCACTCAGGTTAACGGCTACTAGTCATGCTTGAATCCTGCCTTTTTGCTGTGGGGCGTGTGGTCCTAGGAAGGTCACTGTTCTTGGCTGTTCCACAATTTTCCACCTGTTCAATGTGGGATAGCAGTCCAAACCTAAAGGGCTTATCATGTGCCAAAATGACAAAAGACATATAGGAAATAAGAAGAACTACTAAAAGAATTACTGTTGCCAGAGAGGTAGCCATATTTGAAGTCAAGCTTTGAGAGACAATGAAGTGAATTTGTTCCAGCTCGCACTGTCTAACTGTAATGAACATCACCAATTAGTTAGTAGGACTTGGAAACCTTAATAGCCTCTAGCCAAGACTGCCCCAACATCTGAATGCTTATTTCTAAATAATATCACCAAAGAGTCAGATAAGAATTCTAGCAAACGCATGAGGTAGGTTTTTAAGAGGCTTTATATTGATCATAGCTATTGCATACTTTGGGAGCTAATACCTACAAAGAGCCAAGAACCAAATGGCACAGCATTTATGGAGCAAAAAATCCAATGCAGAGAAAGAAAAAAATAATAGAAACTCTGGTTAGCCCATGGCAGCACTCATATTTTAAAAGTATATAAAAGTCTGATATTTAACTGATATAATGAAGAAAGCAAATTGCTGTGATTGAATGCAAAATGTGTTGATGACTTGGTCCCCAGCTGGTACAATAGACTCAGTCCTCGTGAGCTCATAGCCGAGTGGGCTTGGAGGAAGAAGGTCACTAGCAGGTCAGCTTTAAAGGGTATATCTCATGCCCTCAGAACTTTCTTCTCTGGCTCTCTTGGTTTCCTGTTTGCCAGTAAGGGAGCAATATTCTTTTTCCCTGATATTCTACCACAGGCCTAAATACATTGGAACAGGCTAATCATGTGCTGAAACCTCCTCAACCATGAGCCCACATATACTTTTTCCCTTTTTTGTTTATTTATCTGCTGTGGAACAATGGTCTTGTACCCTATAACGATTTGTCACTTTTATTGGTTTAGTAAAAGTGCTGATTGGCCAGTAGCTGGGCAGGAAGTACAGGTAGGGTGACCAGAATAGGAGAATTCTGGGAAGAGTAAAGGCTCAGTCTGCAGTTCTTACCAAGATGTAGAGGATGCAAGATGAGAATGTCTCACTAATAAAAGGTACCAAACCATGTGGCTAACACAAACAAGAATTATGGGTTAATGTAAGATGTAAGAATTAATTAATAAGAAGCCTGAGCTAATAGGCCAACCAGTTTATAATTAATGCAGGCCTCTGTGTGTTTCTTTGACACTGAACGGCTGAAGGTCCTGGAGGGACAGAAACCTCTCTCAACATTTATCTGTCTGTTTGTTTGTTTGGGACAGTTTTTCTTTGTAGCTCTGGCTGTCCTGGCACTTGCTATTTAGACCAGGTTGGCCTTGAACTCTCAGAGATCCTCGTTCCCCTCCTTTTTGAGTGCTGGAATTAAAGGTATATACCACGAAGCTCAGACCCATTACTTTCTCTCTTTAAGTTCATATTCTCGGGTGTTTTGTTTTGTCACAAAACAAATAGCAAAAGATTAACTATCATATAGATATATCTGATATTCTTTTGAATGTAAGCTGAAAATCAGACAGAGAAGTCTTCCATAATCCACAGACATTCACAAAGGAGCTGAATGCATACACCTAATTTAAACTCTAAAAAATAACAAATTATTTGATCAATTAAAAAGTAATTTGGAATCTACTAAGTGAAAAATATATCACTAAGATATAGAAAAGTTGGAAAATATTCTATTTGAGGTAACTCTTGGTTAAAAGGAAACGAAAAATCAATTTTAAAGACTAGACACTAAAGACTGCTTTGAAGCACAGTGTGTCAGAGCAGCAATAAACAAATAAGTCTCAGTTTCTGTTTTCTAAACAAGTGGAAATGAAAGCAAATGAAGTGAGCATAGAACCCAGAGAGTTAGAAAAACAAAAGTCAAGGAGATGAATAAAGATGCAAACATTATCACTGAAGAAGCAACGTTGAGATAATAGCATAGTCTTGTAGGGGAGGGATTGAAAAATTCAGCAATGTATATGAAATAAAACAAACAGACACAGAAGAAATGAAAAGAATTGTGAGAGATGTTTCCAACATATAAAAGTTCACAGTGATATCAAGGAAAGGAACCTCACAGCTTTTCAGAAGGAGATAGATTTACCAAGGCAGACGTCCTTTTTCAAAGTCAGTGCTTCATTTAAAATTAGCCCAGGACTGTGGCACGGATTCTGTAGAACATGGTTATGAAGCTGATGAAGGATGCCTGGACCATGTCCACGAGGGCCAGTTATTGCATTATTTTGAAATTATACTCCAACCTTCTGAATGTAATTCTGAAAAGGCTCTCTGGTCCCATTGGGGTTTCCCATGTGAACTGCTCACTTTTAAAGCTATCATTAAGAGCTGGAGGATCATTATTCCTCTCATGGGTTACCTGCTGTGCTTTGGCATCTGGCTTAAGACAATAAAAATACTTCACTGAACTACATTTACTAAAGCCAGTTCGAGTGCAATGAGCTAGCACGCCAGTCTCAATAGACCAAGAAATTTGGTATGGTTATTTCCACATTGCCCTTAGCACATTCTCATTCCATGTGAGCTTATGTGTGTATGTACACAAACAAGGTTTCCTTTATGGTGAGGAAAGAATGTTCACATAATTAAGTGATTTCAAACACTCTCATAATTCAAAAAAGGAATCACTTTAATACATCAAACATATGTGAGTTAGCCACGATCTGTCCACTGGGCACAGACTGAATATTACTAGCATGATGGAGGAATTTTTACAAAGCTATATCTAAGGGAACATATGCAAAAGGAGGGGTGGGTATTTAGAGAAAGGTCTCACACTACTGTTAGAAACACAATCAAAAATCACTTAAAGTAAGTCCTCAATGAAGGATGAATTTGCAGTTGGTTGTCCTTGTGTACACACCAGGGTCACACCTGTGTCACTCAAGCTCCTCCCATGCCCACTCTTCACTCTACTCTTCTCATCATGGAGCCTGGGGATTACTCCTGAGACCACAAAACAGGTATGCAAAGGAACCTGCCCATATAAGGACAGGGCACATGACCTGGAATCACGGTGGTTGCCTGTATGTGGACTGGTACCCATGGACACATGGAAGAGAACACAGGGTATTTGAGGCTGAAGCGTTCATAAGAATATTCATCCAGTCTTACCCTGAATCTTTTCTGTTCCCTCAAAAAGAAAAAATAAATCACAGAAAACACAAAAGCCAAGGGAATCAGAACTGCAACTTGATTGGTCCCGGGCTGCAAAGTGTTGGAATAAAACTCTGATGGACAGTTTGGAGCTTTTGCAACTGTTAACTCTAGTGCCACTTACTATCAGACACGTACAGCTTCAGAAAGAAAAACATACACATGCAAATTTTTGTGCAATTATTTCCCCATTCAAACAAGAATCATAACACTAAGAGCATCAGGAAGATTTCATGTCCAAGCCCAGGGTAGCCAGGGTGTCAGTGTGTCCCCAAAGCTAAGACGGTGGAGAGTTAATTCCCAAAGTCATGTGTGGATAGTATTCAGCAATGAAGCCTTTAGAAGACAGCAATGGATTAGATAAGACCGTGAGGGTGGGTCACTAATACCCCATGAAGGAGGCTTTAAAGCAGAGAGACCAGAGCTAGCACTGTGATGCCTCCAACAAGTAGGCTCACCAGATGCCAATGCCAGGCTAATGGAGTTCCAGGTTCCAAGGCCATGATCTAAATAAATCTCTATTCATTATAAATTATCTTGTTTCAGGTATTATAGCAACGGAAACTGAACTAAGGCTCAGAGAAGGCACATAACCCTAGTCATTTGAGGGAACAATGGTGAGATGGGATATTAAGTGTTATTAGGGACTTAGAGTTTTCAGAACCCACGCTGTGTGCCTCCCTCTTTGAATGAACTGGAATTAGCTGAATGAACTGACAGTAACTGAGGTCTGTAATCTACATTTCATTGACTGAGCTCAGCGTCTCGTGTCTCAAAGCCAGTGTCTGTGGCAGTTCTTCTCAAGGCAAGACCAGCATCTGTGTCAGGGTGGAGAACTAACTCTAACCCCAAAGACCTCTGTCTTGGGGACACATACTTGTTTTGTTTCTTTGATTCTGTTATATTCACATATTTGTATTTGTCTTAAAGCAATGCATACCCCAAAAGATATTAAAGTCATGTTATCAATAACATGACTCTGGATTGAAGGTGTGGTTAAATTTAAATGCACTTGAACAATAATTCCTAGTGATTTCTTGATTCCAGTTTGCCATATAATTTTGAAACATTGTGTCATGGCTCATCCATCAAAAGAAACAACCTACCCAATAATAAGAGACATGAGTCAAAGATTATCAGCTTTGTCCCGCAGGGTGATACCAAAATAGCCTTAATAACTTTTTGGTAACAATAGAAAAAAAAAAAAAGGAAAAGTCCTCTTCAAATAATGCTTAAAGAAGAGACTGCCACGAGAAAACACTTTTCCTCAAAGCAGAAATGCCTAGGACAGAATGCACTTCACAATGTCTTGAGAATCCAAATTTTGATAAAATTTAAGAATTATGACTACAGAAATAAAACAATCATGAGAAGCCTCTTTCTCTAAAGAAAATAATTACATCCTCCACGGTCCTTGCCAGAGAGATGCTGGAATAGTCAATTCCCAAAGATGCCCAGCATCAGCCCTGGTGAGCAGCAAGAGACAAGGTACCTGTCTGAAGAACTCCTCCAGGAGAGACATGGTCCAGCGGTGGTGCAGGTCCCAGGCTTTTGCAGGGTGGCTGATGTCTGCTGTGTGCAGCATCAAAGATAAGGCTTTCGGCTTTTCAATTCTGCAAACCCAACACATGCAAGCACACAGTGATCACACACCTCAAATACTGGAAGTTTTGAGAATCTTTAAAATCACCTCTAAGTACCACCTCTATGTTGGTGAATGGACAGTTCAGCATTTAATGAATGGGGTACTTCTCACTTAACTAATGTATGGAATGGTTGCATTTTTCAACCAGATGACAAAAATCTAAACAATACTTTCTTCCCTTAGCTACTGCTACATTTAACGGACCTTTGATCTGTTACTAATTACTAACAGGGTCATGATGCTAACTGGGGCAAACTGGTACCGTGTCTTGTATTCACTCGAACTCAGATTCTCATAAACCACTTGTAGCTAATTGTGAGATGACACATGATGTTCAAGCTCCCTGCTCCAGACATCACTACTTTTTGAGATAACCCAACCATTATTCTGAAGGTTATGTGTTTTCAATGTTTAAAATGTGCAAATTTCAGTCCAAGCCCTGTGAGAACATGTTACAAACTACTCACGCTTCTGGCTGCTGCAGGGCTGTCTTCATGGCTTTGATTTGCTGGAAATGACAGGACATATCCGTGGCCATTACCATCTCAATTACCAAGGTTCGAAACTCCCTTTTCGGGATGCCCATGAAGAAAAGGCATGAAAACAAAGAAAAGGAAAATCCAAGTTATGTTTTGCCACATTTAGTCAAAATTAGTTCATTGTTTCAGACATTTCAAATCTAATGTCAGTTTTCTCAGTGGAATTTTTATGAAGTGGGATATAAATGACGATTAAGGACTAAAGAATAATCTATTAGAAATATGATACAGGGAGATAGGAAGTTTCTCGGTAGTCAAGGGCATTTAATCCTCTTGCAGAGGTCCTGAGTTTGATTCTGAGCACACACATCAGGAAGATTACCTCTCTGAGCACTTGAATCCACGTGTGCATACCCACACAGAGACACACACGCATGCACAGAATTTACAAATCAAGTAAGTCTTTTCAAAACAATATGATATACACCTATCATTTGGAAAATTACAGTGAAGCTAAAATATGAATTCAAATGTTATCTTCTCAGTTGAATTCATTCTTAAGATAAAACTAACTTGAAATAATCCTAGAGACTAGACTGATAATCTACTGGATACTTTGTGTATTCCGCATTTTACAAACAGGCTTAATTTTTAAAGCTTATAGAAAAACACAGCAGGGTACATCCCCTCTCTTGTCGTTTCCCGAATCACAAAGCATTCTGTGCTTACATGGGGTTCAAGAGTTACAGCCAACAGACCAATGTCAATACTTTTATTAAATGAGGTCCATAGTTGACTTAGGGCTCACTCATCGTATTGCACAGTTTCATAGGGTCTGATAAATGTCTCTGCCATGTGTCTAATATTTTAACATCATATAGAATGATTTCTGCATCCCTAGTTTTCCTGTTGTTTCCTCCATCCCCTGAAATCCTGGAAGCTGTTAGATGCTATACTGAACTAACAAAAGAAACCAAGGCATAATTTATATAGAATAAACAACTCCTATGGAAAAAGCATGATTCAACTGGTTTTAGCAGCTGAATAAGTCTTTGAAAACACCATTGCATTCAGGATAGCAAATACTTTTCATTTCTTTCAGGCAGTCCCACTTTCTACTTCTACATATGTATGTATATAATGTGTATGCATGTGTATGTCTATAATGCTAATATATATGAATATGTATTGAAATGATAAACATATAAGCATGCTATACATGTATACATGTACACTGTACTTTATATACGTTATGCATATACAGATATGCATACTTACAGGTATATAAAACAAAATGTTCTCTTTTGTCTGAGTTCCTTTCCTAGGCAGAAGAACTTGCTACATGTGTTAGAAAGGGTCACCGATAGTTTCTTGCTTCTTCCAGATGGGAGGTCTCCCAACTATTGCAGTTAGTTATTCACTTAACAGATGACATACAGTTGGTGTATTCTACACTAGTTTAGGATGACGACAAATAAATCACCCCTGGTTATCTGTGTGCAAGTCTTTACATGGACGGACATGGTCTCATTGCTTTAGGGTAAATATCCAAAATTGAACGGCTGTTTTGTTAGGCGCCTGAGTATTTAACTGTATAAAACACTGCCAAACCATTTGCAATAGGACTGTTTAAGCTCACATTTTTGACAAGCATGCTCAAGTTCTGTTTTTCCTTTCCTGCCTTCTCTCAGCCTTTGTTTCTAGCCATCTAGTGTTGTGTGCAGTTTTCTTTTCTTTTTTTTTTTTTTTTAGAACATCTGAATTCTTTAATCCTTCTTTACAGGTTACCTAGACCACTTTTGATTAAGAAAACTGTAGAAAGTTAGTAACTGCCACAAGCGGACGCCAGGTGGTGGCACGTGTCAATTTTCCACAGAGTCCTGCTTTGCGGGGTATCTGAATGCACTGCTCGGGGGCTCTGCTCAAACGTGCTGGAATCACTCATGGCAGATTTTAGTCCACAGGTCGCTTTTCCCCATATTTCTTTGTAAACTCTTCAGCATTCTTACAGAATTTTTTACGGTCCTTAGAGTATTCTTCAGCTAGGTCAGCCCGGAGTGGGTGCTCAGGCTGGGGATCGTTCACCAGTGCTATGAGGGACTGGATTACTTGGTCAGTTTTGGTGGCTGGCTTCCAGTTTTCAGCACTAATTACCGGCAGACAGACCTGCCCCTTCTCATCAATGTTAGGGTGGTAGATCTTGGTTTTAAATGTGATCTTGGGTGGTTTGAATGGGTACTCTGCTGGAAAGTTGATTTCAATTCTGAAGGCCCCCTTGTCATATGGAGGGTTGTCAGGAACAATAAGCCCTTGCCAAGTCAATAAATTAGCTTCATCAACCTGGATGTTACGGAAGTTTTTCATTCCACATTTGCGGATCTCTTCAAGCTCCTTCATCAGCCTCCTGCTGGCCGCCATCTTGAATCTGGTGCTGCTGCTTTCCCGTGTGCAGTTTTCTTTTGCATTTTGTTGAACAAATACTATTGTTGAATACCTCATGTACTTTTACCACTTGCATATCATTGTTTAGGAAACTGTTTCAATTAATTTTTAATTTTTAAAAGAGGGTGTTTCTTTAAAAACTTTCATTACTGATTTGTCAAGGTGCATTGTGCTTCTGGATACAAACCCCAATAGGACATGCACAGTACCAACATTCCCCAGTGTTGGAGTTTCTTGACTTACATCAATTAGGTACCTTCCAAAAATTTTAATTTTCATCACATTGAATTGATTATTTTTCAAAATGCTTCTCACCTTTCGTGTCCTAAGAACCCCATGTTTCCTGAAGACATCTCTGTGCTTTTCTGTAAAATGCTTGCCACTGCCATTGTTATCACAGTGGGGAACAAGCCCAGTGTGCCTGCCGCTGAGCTGCATGCTGGACCGAGTGGCCGTTTCACGTTTTATGTTTTTATTCTTCAGTCTGCCACTGCCCCAGCTGAGTTATTTCAGCCTGCCTAGGTTTTATGACAAAATTTGAGTAGATTTGTTGAGTATGCTTGATGTAAGGGTCAAAATCGCTGTTTTCCATAGACACCCACTTGTTTTAACACCGTTCACTGAAATAAGTTTCTTTTCCCCTTCAGTCCGACTTAACCCTTTATCAAAAATCAAGTGGCGAGGGATCTGAGGAAGTCCTTTAGTCAGCGCAGTGCTTGCCAGGCAAGCGTGAGGACTGAGTGCTGTGGACGACAGGACACGTTTGTAACCTATCACTGAGGGAAAGGGGATCAGTACAAGAGGATCTGCAAAGCTGACTGTCCAGCCAATACTACTAATCTGTGACCTCCAGCTTCAAGGAAGAGACACTGATTCAAAAAATAAGCTTGAGAACAGTAGAGGAAGACACCTAATACTGACCTCTGATCGTCATTCTTAAAGATTTTTAATTCACCTACAAAGTAGTAGCTTTTAGCATGGCTGTATATACATAAATATCACAACATTGAGATTGTTCCTCAGCCCCCATCCTTTCTTGCTCCTCCTCCCTCCTCTTCTTAAGGAGCCCTCATTCTACCTTTATGTCATACTTGTGTTTACTTAATCATGATGCAGAGAAGAGAAAATTCAATATCTATTTTTCTGCATTTGGTTTATTTAACATGATGACCTTCATTTCGACTAATTTTCTATAAATTCCATAATTTCATTCTTCTTTGTAGATGAATAAGACTCCAGTGCAGGGGCTGCAAGAGGGCTTAGTGCAGTGGTTCTCAGCCTTCCTGGTGCTGCGACCCTTTTCTCCAGCTCCTCATGTTGTGATGCCCCCCAACCATAAAATTATTTCATTGCTACTTCACAACTACAATTTTGCAACTGTCATGAAACATGATGTAAATATCTGATATGCAGGATATATGATATTTGACCCCTGGGAGAGGTTATTCCATCCCCAATGGGTTGCAACTCCCATTTTGAGAACCCCTAGCTTAGTGGGTAAAGGCACTTTCTACCAAGTCCAATCTCCTGAGTTTGATCCCACCTTGTGAAGGAGAGAACATCATGGAATGTATGTACCCACCGTCCCTCTCATCAATTAATGAATATCGTAAAATGTCCACTGTATACGTGGACTATAGTTTCTTTATTCAGTCACCCAAGAATCCAAGATGGGTGTCTGGGTTAATTCATAGCTTGGCTCTCGTGAACGCAGTCACAAATGAAGATGGGTGTGCAGGTGTCTCTGTGGTATTCTCACACATTTCTTTAGGAATGCATCCAGCAGTGGGAGAGATGAATCATACGGTTGTTCTATTATTAGTTTTCTCGGAAGTTTCCACGCTGATTTCAACAAATTTAATCCTTTTATCTCCTGTCTTGCATAAGAATTTTCAATGCAGTTTTCTAATGGCTAGCTGCTAGTCTATTATTTTTTACATTAACTTCATATTTAGAAGCCTCATAAAAATCATTATCATTTTAGTAGCTGCCATATAGTCTTAGGGCTTTCCATACAACCAGATCTCATTTGCTTACAGAAACACTTCACATTGTTTAATATAAGATTAGACATCCTATTCTTGTTCTCAGTCTTCAGTATTTCACCATGAAGGCTGATATTAACTATGGCTTTACACTGCTGCCTTACCCAGCTGGAGATGCTATAGGCTCCTTTTTGTTTCTCTTTGGAAGAGGTTTTATTTGAGAAGTAATGACCTTTGCCAAATGTTTTGGATCTAGCTATTGAAATGACCTGACCACATTCTTTGTTTGGGGTTTTGTTGTTACTTGTTTGTTTGTTTGAGTGAATGAGTCACTGTATGATTCTGGCTGGCCTGAAATAGCTCAGTATGGATTCCAACCGAGGATACTCCTGCCTCAGTCTCCAGTGTGCTGGGATTACAGGCTTTTATCTATAACATTTGGTTTTCTTTGCTTGGTTATTTGCTTTTAATAAGGTGAATTTTTTAATTGAATTTTGAATGCCAAATCAACCAAAAATTTATGTTTGTTTGTAAAACAGGGTTTTCTGTACCCAAGACTGACTGTGCCTTCTTTATGTGGGGGGTAGGTGACCTTGAAATTCTAATCCTTGTGTCTCTACTTTTCCAGTGCTGGGGTTACAGGCATGTTCTACAAATCCAATTGTATACAGTACTAGGGATGAAACTCAGGGCTTCATGCATGATAGGCAAGCACTCCACAAATCAACCTAAATCTCCAGCCCTGGAATTAACTCACAGACTTATGGAGGTTGATAAGACCAAGGTCAGCAGGGGCAGTCAGCAAGCTGTAGATCTTTAGGGCCAAATGATATACTCCAGCCAAAGACAACAGACTCAAGGAAGATTCAGGAAGACGGTTTCAGTTCAAACTCAGGTAGAAAGAATTTGATCTTATTTGGGGAAGGGTGAACCTTTTATAGTATTTGTCTAACCCTTAGCTCCTTGTATGATGCCTGTTAATATTAGCAATGACAGTCTGCTTTACTGAGTCTACTCCTTTCTAAGTTAGCTTCAACTACAAACAGACTCATGGAAAGATCTTGAATGTTTTCAAAAAATATCAAAGGCTCACTGTGGCCAACGTGAGTTGATGTAAAATTAACCACACTATCCAAATCAAACTTTCTGCATAAGATTTCAAATGTTGATATTTAACAAGAATTTATGCATTTATGTTCATGGGGTTTACTAGACCCTAAGATTCATTTTTTTGTGATAGTTTTGCAAAAGCATAGACCTTAAAGTTATGTCTCATGAGGCAAATTAGAAAGTGATTTCTTCTTTCAATGTTTTACAGATAATTGACCTAACATCGTGTTGATCTCTTCCTTGTGCTTTCAAAGACTTTGTTAGAGAGAATACCCAAGAATGGAGGTTTCTTGGTATGAAAATTTTGATGGCAAACTCAACTGTTTTAATAGATACAGGAATATTAAAATTATTTGTTTTATCTTTTGAAATATGTAGAATCTGAGAGTGGCAATATATGTTCTAGCTCAGCCAAATTAGAAACTTATCAATTTTGTTGTTTTTTCAAAGAACTAGATTTTAGAATTGTTAATTCTTTTTCTGTTGTCTGTAATTTTATGGGTTTCTTTAGTAAGATTGTTATTTCTGCCTTTCTCTCTACACTGAGTTTGCTGTTCTTATTCTAGCTTCCCACAGTTATTGTGTTTATATAAAATTTTCCAACAAGATGTTCTGATGTCTCAGGCATATGATTATATCTGTTCTCTTCAATATTTTATTTTCTGTGAGGTAAATCTCAAAGAAAATAACAGTGGCAAGAGGCACAGATATAGGTTGTGTGGTGGTCTGAAGGAAGTGGCCTCAAAGGAAGTGGCAATATTTGCAGGTATGGCCTTGTAGGAGTAAGTTTGGTCTTTTTGGAGGAAGTATCAACTGTGGAAACAGGCTTTCAGGTCTCATATATGCTCAAGCCACACCTATTGTCTGAGACCACTTCCTGTTGCCTGTGCAGGATGCAGAATTCTCAGCTCCCTTTCCAGCACCATGTCTGCCTGCACTCCACCATGCTCTCTGTCACAATGGTAATGGACTGAACCTCAGAAATTGCAAGCTGCTACCTCAATCAAATGTTTTCCTTTTGCTGTGGTCATGGTGTCTCTGCAAAGCAATAGAAACTCTAATACAGATGGTGAGTGCACAGACTTCACTAAACTAATTTCAAGGGACTAATTTACAGAGTTTACATTAATTCACCTATGTGCTTTGAATCATTCAATTTTATAATGTATTAATCAGAGGGCATACTCACATGGTTTAAGCCAATTCTATTATTTCTGTTACTTTGCACATGATCACCAACAATCACACCAGGAAGGAAAATAAATATCACTTACCTTTTTGAACAAAATTGTGTCCAAAAAATGAGAAAATACCAAACAAAAATGAAGATAGAAATGATACATCCGATCTTTATAAAGATGTGAAAAGCCAAGTTAGCAAGCCTTGGGGGACTCTGTGTGAGAGAACAGTGTGGAGTTTGCGCAGGGGCTCTTTCCTCAGCAGCAATGTGTTCCATCTGCCCACACTCCCCCTCTGGGGCTTCCAAACTGCCTTCTCACATTACCTCCAATCATCCTTTGAGAGGTTGACCAAAATATTCATCTCCTCGTCATCCTGAAGAAGGCGGTAGGCTGCACTCAAGTGGTGGTTCTCCAGGACAGATCTGTCATTATACAAGATAGCTGGATCGGACCTGTGCAGAGAGACACACAAACTCCTTCAGGTTGGGGCCTAAATGGAGTGTTGATTTTCAGCACCAGCAACTCCAGGCTCCCGCTCAAGTCCACTTAGGGTGTGCAAAGACATGGAACAGCGATTTTATTAGAGTGCAGAGACAATTTATTTTTTCCTAAATGTAAATGAAAATAAATAACCGAGAAGATCCCCAAATGTTTATAAGAAGCTATGAGCCTCGGTTTCCTTGATTGCACCGGTTCAAACCAGTTCAGACCAACTCAAAGCGGTAGAGACTGACTAAGACCGGTTCAAATGGCATGTGTGGCGAATTGGACAAGTGTGACAGAAAAGACGCGCATGACAAATATGGCACATCTGACAACAGGATGTGGCGGGAGCCACTGGCTAACAGACAAGAATCTCGGTGTATCCAGAAAAGCTGCTTGTGTGTGTTCATGTGTGAGTGTATCTCATGTATTGGTGTGTGTGGATCCACATGGAAGCTGTGGTGAACCTCAGATGGCATTCTTTCTTCTGGTACCATATATCCTGCTATTTGAAAGAGAATCTCTTATTGCCCTGAAGCTCAGTTCAGCTGTGGTGGCCGGCCAGGGAACCTAGAGATCTTCCAGGTTCCACCCGCACAAGCACTGTCCCTGGCTTTTGCTTTGTTTTGTGGTTTGGTTGTTTGGTTGATGTGGGAGTCCCCTCTGTAGGCTGTGAACACTATGGGTGTATAAAGACACTGTCTTGGCCTGTGATAGAGTAGAACAGATCTAGGTGGGGAAAACTACAATGAATTCTGGGAAAAAGGAGGCAGAGTCAGAAAGAAGCCGTGGAGCTGCTGTCAGACACGCTGAAACTTTGCTGGTAGGCCACGACCTTGTGGTGATGCGCAAATTAATAGAAATTAAGACGTAAGATTTAGCCAATAAGAAGCTAGAACTAATGGGCCAAACAGTGATTTAACTGATATGGTTTCCGTGTGGTTATTTCGGGAGTTTGGGCGGCCAGGCAGTGGGGAAACAAACAAGTGGGCTCATACAACAGCTGGCTTTGCTTTTTTGTGACAGAGTTTCTCTGTGTAGCCCTGGATTTCTTGAATCTCTCTTTGTAAATCAGGCTGGCCTTGAACTCACAGAGATCCACCTGCCTCTGCCTCCCAAGTGCTGAGATTAAAGACATGTGCCATTATCGCCTGACTCACACCTGGACTTTTAATGTGACTTCAGAGGATCAAATTCTTTTCGTCTTGTTTGTCGAGCACTTTTCTGAGCGGGCCATCTCCCCAGCCCCACAAAGGCTGTTCCTTGTATCCCTATGACTTCAAGGCCCAAAGCACGAGCCTCAATTGTGCTCAGAACCTGCATCTGCTGTTTGCTCCCATCATGGATGCGTCCTCCCAGACCCTCCAGGCAGGCACACATCCCCTGGAGTGTGGATCAGTTGCTGGCAATGACACGTCCCTCTGGCCTCTCTTGGGTAGATCGCCTATGCTCTGGGTTCAGGACACTGACCATTGGCCTGCACTGTCAGTTCTCTGGACCTTGATGTGGTCCCCGTCCTCATGCTTCTTTGATAGCGCGCACCTCAGCTTCTACATGTCACCAGCAGCCACAAGGGTCACTTGCTGCTTGCTGCCAGCCGGATACATGACTCCATGACCATCTTCCCGAGCCTCCAGTTGTGCAATCAAGGAAACCGAGGCTCATAGAAGCTGAAAGATTTTCCCCTCATGGTGCCACCTCAAGTATTCAGTAGGATCGATGTTTTAGCTTCTTCTCACTTTCCTTCCCTCGGCTCTTGCTGAAACCTGGCTAGGACCCTTTCTAAATTCTCCTAAGGTCCTTAGGGTGCACAATCGACCACCCCTGAAGCCTCATCCACCCTGGATTCTTCTCATGTATGGTGATGAATCTTTGAGTTGTGGTTTAATTTGGATCTCGAGCACCCCGATAAATACAAGGTCACAATCACTAACGGAACTGATGTGGCCTGTGACAGGTCATCGATGCAAACACAAAGCCAGGAAGCAACAGAAACACCATGTGATTGCCACACTCATCTGATTGTCACTCCCTGGCCACTTCTCATGTCCCAGCTCAGAAGCCATGATTCACTCCTCCCACCCAGCCTCAACCTCTCATGCTAAGGATCTGATCCCAACAGCAAAACAAAGTTTACTTCTGCCTGGGCCACCAATGGGCTCATCAAGCTCACATACAAAGCACAGGTGGACAAGGGTTTGCAAGTAGAAATGCGGCTGACCCCAAAGAAGGTATGTGTGTCATATTTGCCATGCACGCCATGTTGTCGTGTGTCATGTGTGTTATATTTGCCGTGTGTTGACATATTTGCCACTCGCGCTGTGTGGCGTGTTTGTCGTGCATGTCATATTTGTCATGTGTGTCACATTTTCATGTGTGTTGCTTTGTTATGTGTGTTGTGTTTGTCATGTGTGATAGGTGTGCCATATTTGTCGTGTTTGTCCTGTGTGCCATGTTTCCATGAGTGTCATGTGTATCACGTGTTTCATATCTGTCATGCATGTCGTGTGTGTCGTGTTTGTCATGTGTCGTGTGTTTGTGTGTCATGGACCAGTCTGGTCTGGTCGAAACCAGTCCAGTCCAGTCCAGTCTGGTCTGGTCTAGAACAGTCTGGTCTGGTCTGGACGGGTCCGGTCTGGTCCGGTCCAGGTGGACAAGGGTTTGCAATTAGGAATGTGGCTGACCCCAAAGAAGCTATACTAGAAGGTCGGCACCCAGCATTTGGAAGGCTTCCCTTAACTGCATAGATGGAGCCTCTTTCCTATAGTCTTCCAATACGACCATATACACCACCCCTTCCTGAAACCCACAGAGCTAGGGCAGAATTCATACAACTGGTTGGGAGCAATGGCTAGATACTCAGGGAAGGATCCAGTGACCCTCCCTGTTCCTCCTTGTAGGAGGGGATGCCAACAGTCAACAGCCCTATGTGATTATCTTTGGCAAGCAGCCCATTGGTGGCCCAGGCAGAAGTAAACTTTTTTTTGCTGTTGGGATCAGATCCTTAGCATGAGAGGTTGAGGCTGGGTGGGAGGAGTGAATCATGGCTTCTGAGCTGGGACNTTTTTTTTTTTTTTTTTTTTTTTGCTGTTGGGATCAGATTGTTAGCATGAGAGGTTGAGGCTGGGTGGAAGGAGTGAGTCATGGCTTCTGAGCTGGGACATGAGAAGTGGCCATGGAGTAACAATCAGATGAGTGTGGCAATCACATGGTGTTTCTGTTGCTTCCTGGCTTTGTGCCTGCATCATTGATGACCTCTCACGGCCCACATCAGTTCCGTAAGTGATTGCGACCTTGTATTTATCAGAATGCTCTGGATCTAAATTGTTTGTTTGACAGAAGCCCTCCAATGGTTATATGAATTTTGTGATGTCATGTGCATGACATCTGGGGCTCTATGCAGCCTGTGCCACACCTGTTAGAAACAGGTAGAGGAGCGCAGGACATACATAAATAACAGGTGAACATTATAATAGTGAAGAAAGGAAGAGCCGCTTTAGATCTGAATAAAAGATGAGAAATAGCAGCAGGTGTTTTTTTAAAACGCTGTGTGTTCAATCAAGTCGCCCAGGCTCCTCTCTTGTTTATAAGTTAATCTTTTCAAAATTCAAAATAGAGCAACCACATAAAAGCAAAGTGATGAACGCACAACTTGCTGACATCTAAAATTATATCCCTGCCTCCTCGTGCCTGCTCTACAAACATTTCAACTGCCTCACCGTGTCTGAATGTGGAAATTGTTGGTAGTTCCAGTGTGTTCGTAGTCGTGGATGGCAGCCGAGAAGATTATTGCAAAGATCTCCAGTTCTGTCAGCCAGTTCTGCAAGGGAGATTCACAGCAATCAGGAAATTGTCTCTCGCTCACACAGCTTGAGCATGCTGACAACAAACTCACCCTGCTCCCTTCCACCCTACAGCTGCTGGCTGTTGCCAAACAAGTTTTTTATACATAAAAGTAATGGGGGCTTTTCCTCATTGAGGAGACTGTGAACTTGTAGTTTGACCGCAACACTCAAGGTTGGAAGAACTATTACTCTGATCCGACATTCCAGAAAGACAGCAACAGTGAATGAAGAACTTAAAATGTCCTCATCAAATAGCCCTCCCACTTCAAAATACAATTCTTGTCTCTCTTTCCTTTCCTTGTCCTGTCCTTCCCCCTCCCCTGGGAGAAATTCAATGCAATACCCTCTCTCATTTATCAAGAAGTAATTAAAAGTTTTAACACTTTTAATATCAAGTGTAGGAGCCAGCCATGATAAGCTAAGTCTGGGCAGGTCACCCAAAGGAAGTTCTTTACTTCCAACCATTATCACCTGCCAGAGTAGGACTCAGCCATCCTTAAATTTAACAAGAGGCCTGGGGCTCAGTAGTTTACCCTGAGGCGGTGCCTGGTTGCAGGAAGAACCCTAAGATTACCTGAGCACCAGCCAAAAACAGACCATCTTAAGGAAATGCCTAACATTCCAACTGCTGTAGATAGGACCACCTGCCAGAACACACTCACCAAGACACCCCTAGACAAATGTCAGCCAATCAGGGGTGGGTCTTAAACCTCAGAAGCCCCTCACCCCCACCTTTACTATTATGAAAACCCAATTCAACAGAGCATACAAGTGTCTTCCCTACATGTGTGTCTGTTTGCTACATGTATGTACTGCCCACAGAAGTAAGAAACCACCAGATCCCCTGGAACTAGAGTAACAGAGATTGTGAGCCATCATATGATTGCTGGGATTTGAACGTAGATCCTCTGGAAGAGCAGCTTGTGCTCTTAACCACTTTTTTGTTTGTTTGTTGTTTTGTTTTTCGAGACAGGGTTTCTCTGTAACTTTGGGGCCTGTCCTAGAGCTAACTCTTATAAATCAGGCTGGCCTCGAACTCACAAAGATCCACCTACCTCTGCCTTCCAATTAAAGATTTAAGCTGTGCACCACCACCACCTGGCTGCCTCTTTTTAAATGTAGAAACCCACATACCATTCACATGTTCATAGAGGAACTAGCTGTGTAGCTGCTATCCCCACAGAAAGAGAAAATGAGATCATAAGAAACTCAGGTTCCACCAAGGTCACACAGTTGTTCATATGAGAAGCCATATAATATATTTTCCAGAATTCTTACCTATCATCTGTAGGTTAAATTTCCTTTGTTTATATTCTATATTTATTTAATTTTGGATAAACTTATGTATGTATAAAATTATATGACATCTCTTCTTGATATTCTTCACATATATAACACCTATTCTTCCTCTTTTTTTGAAAAAGGGTCTTAAAGAACATGCTAGCTTAAAACCCAGTATGTAGTCCAGTCTGAACCTGATCTCACAGAAATCCTCTTTTTCTTAGCCTCCTGAGTGCTAGAATTACAGGCTTGCACCTCTGCACGTGGCCATATTGGTGTGTTTTCTTCCTTAATACGATATTATTATTAATCTGCTTTTGAACAATTCCCTGTATACAAGTCTTGTTCTAGTCCTATACAAAGTCAATCTCATGTTTTAAAATAAGATGGTAGGTAGGAGTTAGCATAGAGCCTAAACAAATCCAAGTCACAAAACATCAGGAGTCTAAGCATCAGAAAGCCTGCAAAGGAATAGTTCCCACATTACAAATATCAGGCACACTTGCTGCCCAAACACACTAACAGCTACTCTTAGTTATCACCTAGCTTCTAATAAACTTAAACAACAAGGGATCAAACAGGCATATAGCAAAATCTAAACTGTACCTTTGAAGCTCATTGTAAAACCCAGTCCTTGAGATGATCAGTGTGCAAACGGGGTTAGGGATGAAAAGAGGGAAAATGATATCCAGGGAAGGAAACAGGAGGGGCATAAAACAGTTTCACAAAAACAAGCCTTGCTGATGGTGACAAGGAGACCTTGGAGTAGAGGAGGGCATTTTCAGAAGCGCCTGTCCATCTTGAGCAATGGAATGAGTCCCTGGACTGCAGTGGGGATCAGGGCAGACCGGGACCTGAAATATCAGGCATTGAAAGCCAGAGTGAGAGAGGAATGTAAACTGACTCAACCGGCAGTGGTGTTTACACCCCAGAGAGTCTGGAGCCAGCCCAGCACGCCAGGAAGAATATTTGTCTGAATAGAGAGAGGGAGGAAAAGTCCTTACAGTGCGTGTAAATAACTGAATGTGTGGCAGACATGGATGGATAAAAAGAAGTTACAGCCAAGAGAACAACCGATTACATATGGCCTCCAAACACTGAGTCAAGAGCCAAACACTTCCTGGGTCGTATCAGATAGCATCATTGGTAAAGGAAAGTTGGATAAGGCAGAAGAAGCCACTCTGAGGAAAACTGAGATTCATATTTTAATGGGGCTCATTTGTATTTTCCCAGTTGATTACTGTGATTACTAAGGTTTGTGTCAGAATATAAGCAATCAGAAATTTAAGTTCCACAGGCATTTTGTTGTAGGATTATCTGACTGTGACATTTCCCCGTCTTTCAAATTGGTGTGTCACGGCTTCATTCACTGACAGAGCTGCTTTGACACCTGGATGTGGTAGATTCTGGACTACTACACCTGTGGCTCAGAAAAGCAAGCCGTATGCTTAGGTGTGTGGGTGAGTGAGGGCAACTGTATACAACAGAGGAAATCTGAAGGAAATGGACATGGGTGGGTCATTTTCCACTGCTACAGGATACATTACTCTAAGTAAGCTGTGACGTTGCTGTGGAAACAGCAGTTTCTATTTTTACAATACTTTTCTGATGCCTTCAGAAATCACCACAAAAAGATGGTTGAAGAACATCATATGCACACACACACACACACACACACACACACACACACACACAGAAAAGGGGTGAGTCATGAGAAGACAGATGAGTAGATAAAGTGTCATACAAACATAAAAACCCAAGTTCCATTCCTAGCACCCATGTGAAAAGTCAGGTATAGTGGCTGTGATGTGGGATTTCCCTCTGTATGCTGTGAATATGTTTTATTATTATTGGTTAATAAAGAAACTGCTTTGGCCCATGGCAGAGCAGAATAGAGCTAGGCAGGAAGTCGAAAGATTCAGAGAGAAAGAAGGCAAGGTCAGGGAGACGTCTGTAGTTGATGAAGGAGAAAGACACCAGAACCTGCTGGATACTATGGGCCTGTAGGCTGAAGATAGATGTCCAAGTGTGACCAAAGAGCTTCGAGAGCCTGTCCAAGCAGCGAGATGTCTCTGTCAATTCTAGAACTTTAGATGTTGCTTAAAATGAACATCCTATTTACCTAGGTAATATTATATTCTTCTGGGGTCTTTGATGGAGTTGAAGATAGATAGAGTTTTACTTAGTTATAATAAAAGATAAAGTAGTATAAAACTTTAGATTGACAAATATTATAACTGTTAATTGTTGCTTGTCCTTAGTTTGTTATTTGTAATTTTACTATGTTAAAGTTAAAACCTTTCTTTTAATTTAGACAGAAAAGGGAAATGATGTGGGATTCCCCTCTATATGCTGTGAATATGTTTTATTACTATTGGTTAATAACGAATCTGCTTTTCCCTATGGTAGGGCAGAATATAGTTAAGCAGAAAGTCCAAATAAAGATACAGAGAAAAAGAAGGCAGAGTCAGGGAGATGCCATGTAACTGCCAATGGAGAAAGATGCCAGAACCTTAGCAGTAGGTCACAGTTTCATGGTGATATATAGATTAGTAGAAATGGGTTAATTTAAGATGTAAGAACTAGCTAAAAATATGCCTGAGCCATTGGCCAAACAGTGGTGTAATTAATATAGATTTTTGTGTGAACATTTGGGTCTGGACAGCTGGAATAAAATGCTCAGTTTCTGTTTATATGGCTGTGATCCCAAGGCTAGAGAGATAGAAACATGCACGTCCCCAGGGTTCACTGGCCAGCCAGTTTAGCCTAATTGGTAAGCTCTAGGCAACTAAGCAATTCTCTCTCAAAGACAAGGGCCCAATGAAGGACACCCGAGGCTATCTTCAGTCCTTCACATGCTCAGACACATAAATGCACCTGCACACACACACACACACACACACACACCTGTGCATATGTGCACATGCTACAAATAACTGAGCACAGTCTGTCATTGGCTGTTATACCGTTGAGTCCAAGGATATCTTGCATTAGCATAAATGCTTCAGAGAGTTTCTTTTGCGTTGATGAAGCTGCTTGATTCAGGTTTATATTGCACAGGATACTGTGCACAACAGGCACTAAAACCATGTTTACCAGATGAGCTCAGAGCACTATTCAGCCTCTGCTTTAATTTGCTCTACATTATTATGTTCAAGTATACACCCCTGAAAATTCTGAGGTCCAAGGGGTTCTGTTTCACCAAAGATAATGTAGAATGATAGCCAAATACCTAAATGTATGGCCATTGGCGTCACACCTGGGGAACTAGAGAGATTGGCTCCCTGTTTAAGAATACTTGCTACCTTTGTAGATGACCAGGTTAAGTTCTTAGCACCCACATGGCAATTCACAGTTCTTTGCTACTCTGGTTCCTAGGAATCCAAAGCCCTCTTCTAAAGTTCATGGGCACTAGGCATGTACAGGTGTGTATATGGACACATGATCAAACATCCATATGCATAAATTTATTTTAAAAAATGAATATTAAAAAACATAAAAGAAACCAGATCTGGGGCCAGCTTCGCTATGCCACTGTAATATTTTGCTATGGTCACCATAACAAATTACCATAAAAACTCATTTTGTAGGGGTAGGATCAGTTTCCCCAGACTGAAACCACTGATTTACAGAAAATCGTAATCTATTGCACATTTGTACAGACAAAGTATATTTGTATAGACATTTAAGAAGACAATTTGTAGTAATTCTTTGTGTTAGCTTCCCATTAGTGTGGTCATTTGAATGTAATTGACCCCATAATCTCACAGGGAGTGTCCCTATTAGAAGGCATGGCTTTGCTGAAGTATGGCCTTGTGGGAAGAAATGTGTCACTGTGGGAGCCAGCTTTGAGGTTTCCTGTGCTCAGCACCATGCCTGCCTGCAGGCCTTCATGCTCCCCACCATAATGATAATGGACTGAACCACTTTAACTGAGAGCAAACCACCCCAATTAAATACTTTCCTTTCTAGGAGTTGCTATGGTCATGGTGTTTCTTCACAGCAAATGAAAACCCAAACTAGTAAGACAGTTACTAGACAAGTACCTGAGATTAATCATCATATAAAGAGAGAAGTCAAAAAAGGCAAAAAAAAAAAAAAAAAANAAGAAAGAAAAAAAATATAAAAAAGAAAAACCAGCCTACAATTCATAATCCCAGAGAACCTAGACAACAAAGAGGACCCTAAGAGAGGCATACATGGATCTAATCTACATGGGAAATAGAAAAAGGCAAGATCTCCTGAGTAAATTTGGTGCATGGGGACCATGGGAGAGGGCAGAAGGAGAAGGGAAAGGAAGGGAGGGCAGTGAAGAAAAATATATAGCTCAATAAAAACATAACAAAACAAAAGTCTAAAAGGTCAAATGGGGTAGGAGGAGCTCTGTTGAAGAACTCTTAACAGACATGTGGGAGGCCCTAGGCTCAACCCCCAGTACTGCAATATATACATATATGTACAGTAGACAGTTAATAATGTTTGCAAATAAAAAAAGGAAATTTGTCAAGATGGTAGGAGGATGGCAATCTGTTGTAAATGGAAAAAATATACATATATATTTAGACTGAAGTATGATTCACTGAAGTATGATTTTGGCTTGACTAGCTGCATATTTAAGCTTAACTTTGAATTAAATATGTTTAACTTGATTTGTATAGAAATTTATAATTCAGAACTTTTAGTCAGTGGTTCCAAATGATAAGCATATACGATGGATTCTTATGTTCACATGATAGAATTCACTCATTCACACGAGAAAGGTAAGAAGCACAGATATTCCTAACACAAGTATACATGCACATGTGTACAATGTAATAAAAGTTCTGAATGTCTTTTTGGCTAAGGAAGTGCTATGGAAGCTGGACATGCCTGAACATGCCTGCAATCCCAGAACTGGGAGGTGAAGACAGGAGGAGCTAAGAGCTCTCTACTCAATCTTCACCAAATGACAGCTTCAGGCTTTGCTGACTCCCCATGGGAGGCCTTACACTTTCTGAGGAGTGGATGGGGAGTGGGGTGGGGAGGAAGGGTGGGGAGGGGGAGAGGTGCGGGGGGGGGGGGGGGGGGTGAAGTGATTGGTATATAAAATAAACAAAAAAAAAAGTTAAAAAAGAGAGGAAGGACAAAGCTGTACACTTAGTAGAAGAGCAAAGGGCCAGGAAGGAAGCAGCAGGGAATTCTGGGTCTCCTTCTTAAAGACACCAGTCCCATGGTGGGAGCTCTGCCTCTATTACCCCATTACTTCTCAAAGTCCTCACCACCCAATCCCATCACTGTGAAGTAGTTTAACAGAGTTCCCAGCTCATAGCAAGTGCTCCGTAAACCTTTGAGTGTATGGTTTGACACTGAAATTCCATCGATGTATTTGTCATTTATTTCTATCATTAAAAATCACCCACTCTGTTTTTATAGGTTTGTCGATGTTTTAGTGATAGGAAGATAAAAGCTACCTTCTTGTTATATACTATTCCTTTTCAAAACTACCTGTTCTAACAGAAAAATACACATTTTGTATGGATTTCAGAGCTATCAGGTTATACATTAATTTTTTGAAGATTGAATTAGTATTTATTGTTTTGATGAAACTTGCCATTCAAACAACAGAACAGTTTCCCATTTAAAGCACAACACATTTATCTACTCATTTAATCATTAGTTTTGAGTTCTTTGAGTTTTATAGTTTTTCTCTTTTTTTGGTATTGAAGTTCTTTATAGATAATCATACATTTTTTAAACTGCTGAGAATGTACTTTTTACATCATAATTATTAATTTCTGGCACACAAACAGCTCTTGCAAATTTTTTCAGCATTTTATCCTTTTAAAGTAGCATATTGTATCACATGGGTACTGTAGAAAATTGTTTAGTGTTGTCTTAGTGTGTTGGTCTGAGTCTTCATGATTCTATCTTCACTAGACATGCCTGCATCAATCCACATCGTCATGGGCCTCAGTGTGGATGCTTCTTCACCAACCCGTGTCTCCACAGGTCTGTCTTCACGCAACCACCTCTGCATCATTCTAGGTCTTCATGGGGCTATTTTAGTGTGGACAATTCTGTTTTATTTCATGTTTTCATGGGATTATCATTTAGTATGGCTTTTGGTCTTGAGTTTTTGGTAGAAACTCTTTATTTTATAAAATGAGTTATCTCTATAACATTTCTATAATTTTGAAATGGCTTCTTAAATATAATTTTTCCAAAATAAGCATTTTAATAAAAACTAAAACATGGTGATGATTTTTGGGGAAATTCTACAATAATCTAGTAATAATACTTCCTAAGTTGAAGGAAGGCTAATGTCAATATTTTTGATATTATCCTCCTGGTCATCTTCAAGGTAAAATATTTCTCACGTTGCAGACGAGAGGAAATATGGGCACAGAGAAGTACCTCATCACAGGTTACAATATCGGTTAGTAACCAAGCAGGGATTTAGATGGAGTATATCAAGCTTCAGGCCCACTTCTCCCACTGTGTTCTAAGTTGAATGCACTGAGCTACTCTACTGAGCCAGTCAACAGGAAAGACAGGTAAGTGTTGGGTTTGTGGTTGATTTGCTGCAATTTCTATCTTAGTTCTTCCTATAAGTGGCATAGAAAGACCTGTAAAAATGGATTGCCACTCTCTTAACCCAGAAAATCATACAAATTATGAAATTCAAATCTTTGTTTTCTCTTTTAAAATGCACACAAACCTTCCCAGTCCATCAAGTGTGTGGCATATCCAAGTGCTATCTGCATTTTCAAGATGCCATTCTAAAGGAGTTGTGTGTGCCATTCCTGTGACTGGTTTGCTCAAGTTTTTCTAAGGACTGACTTTAATATTTCCAATCTTTCTCAGTATTTCAAACTTTTAAAATAGCATATCTCATTCCCCGAGATGTGTAGGAAAATACTCAGTGTCAGTCCGCAGAGTAGTCCCAGAATCCTACACTGGTGGGGTCAGAAGCTGTGCTCAGTTCAAGCAGTGTGGTTGGATTTATGGTCATTGACACAAAAGCAGTGCTCAATGTTTGTCGAATGTGCAGAGAGTAGGTTTAGATGCAGATTCCCTTGTAGCTGAATATGTTCAGCTCAACAAATGTGAGCCAAAAGTACAGTGTTCATGGTTCAGTTAACCCAGGCCACACCAAGATGATACTCACTGAGAAGGGACACCCTGATCCTAAGCCATAGGAGGGGACTTCACAGGAGAAAAGGATCCCCAGAGCATACTGTAGAAATTAAATATATAGCATGGGGGTAAATTCAGTTTCCAATAAGTTCAAATAGAAGTGAAAAACAAATTCCTATAGGTCTTCTTAAGGCAATCTCAGTAAAAGCTATTTTATCTGTTTGTTCATTTGTTTTCTTTGGCCACCAACATCTATGCATATTAAAAACTGATGGCTTATGGAGGTAAAGAAGACAAAGGGGCTGGTGGGGTGTGGACCAAGGTGCTTCATGACAAACCAGAAAATCTGAGTTCAATCCCTGGCCTCCGCAAGGTAGGAGGAGAGAAGTGACTGCTAATAATTGCCCTCTGACATCTACATGTGTGTTGTAGCACAAGAATCCCCCACCCATGCACTAGAAACAAACAAATAATAAAAATGTAAGAAGTCAAAGGCACAATCAACTCGAATAAGCTAGTACATCAAATGGATTACAGAAAAGAGGTCTAAAACCATCTGAAGAGCTGAAAAGCAAAACTATAACAATGATATTTCAAATGACTAAAAAACCTTTAGCTTTAAAACATACATAAGGTGAATAACCAGAGTGCTTCTGAAAAAGACCTAGCAGGTTAAGCCAAAGATGAGTTGGAGCAATGGTTGATGAATCTACTGACTATTACTTCAGAATATGTGAACATTATTGTTAATTGACTATTGCAAAGGGTCAAAAAAACATTCTATATGTGGAAATATATGCTTAGCTCTTGTAATTATTCCTTAATTGGCCATTTTCTATTTCACTTGGCTCAAGAAAAATATTTAAGAGAACCCTAAGGCTCTCCACAGTAAACAGGGGGACACTTCGGAGCACTCTCCATAAAGATCAAGGCAGCTCTCAGAGAACCCCAAGGCTTTCTATCATGATTATGAGGACACATCAGAATACCTTAAAGCTCTCCACAGTGATGCTGGGAAATAGGGTGTTCACAAGACATCATTCATCCTGGGCTCATCCTTATCACATCTGGGACACCCTCCAACATAGACTTGTGTCCCCGCCTGTACTTACTGCTACTCCTGTCTTATAGAGGAGGTAATGCACGGTTTGCGTGACGTCAGCGGCATGCATCAGGTTGTGGTAAGGATTTTTGTGCTTGCTGTATCCCACTTCCAGGGCCTCCACAAATGAGACAAGTGCAGAAATGGGAATCTGAAAAAGAAGAGAAAGCTCCACTCACTAAAGGGCAGACTTACCTTGAGAGAAACATTAAGATCCCCACTTTGCTCATTTGGGGGCTCCTGTAGATCACATGAGGAGCAAAAATGTTTAGCAGTTAACAAAATTCTCTGTGAAACTGTCAGATGCTTTGAAAGTCTAAGACCAGGTCCCTGGTTGAAGAACAGTCAGTCTTACAAACTGGTTTTGTTCCCAGTTCAAGCAACCAAACTATACAGATTCATCTCAAAGACGTTTTGTTTAAAACGTAAACCAGTGGTTTTTGATGTACACATAGGCAACTTCATTCATTACTAGTGATTACTAAAGCTTTGTATTTCTTTGTACTTTATCTGTTTTTAGTCTTTTTCTCCAATTCCAAGACAGAAGAGATGCTATGCAGGACCAATGTCATAAACCATGTTGACAAACTTACTGCAGTTTATGAGATTTTTAACTATTTGTAACACTTCACTAGCAAAAGAAGACTTTCCAGACTGCAAACCACCAGTAATAAACTATTGGGTGATAAAAAGACATAGCCTGTTCCTTTCCCAAACACACTACCACACTGTGCTTCCCCATATTTCAAATGCATACAGTGACCCCTTTCAAAGAGTGTGACTTTGAGGAAGTCATACCAGTTGCAGCTTACCTCTGTCTCACAATCATTTTATAACCTAAGTTTTTTTGTGTGTCCCTTGTGTTTTATCATACTAAATATACTGCATAATATATGTTCATTTTTCTTAAATAGAAAGCATGAGCTCCAATATAGCCCTTACGAATGTGATAAAGACTCTATCTGGAGACATAAATATCTGTGTGTAAAACAACCTGCATTTTCCAGACACACATCCCATTCATCTGATGCTTGAAGTCTGGGAGATCAACTGGACAGAGGTTCCCTTGAGAACCCACCTGACCTGAAAAAGGCTGTGCAGCGTGGTGACTGAGGGGCGGACCCTGGAGATGATCCATCCATTCTCTTTGTTTAAGGCAAAGAATTAATCTGAAGCACGGGTGGCTGTGAAACACCAGTGATCTGTCATGGATGAGTGGGAGTTTTTTTCTGAAGGTGGCCTGGTGTGAGAAAAGTTTATGGAAGCTGCTGAGCTCACTCTGTCTCCAATGCTACCTCCCAGGCAAGAGTGGTCCATAGTACACAGAATCAGGATGCAGTGAGATAAAATGCCCATTGGTGGGCAGCACCTATGGCAGGCCCACCGGAATGATGCCCACAGGTGCCCACAGCAGTTTCCTATGTACTTAGAAGGATCCCCTTGGTCTTGGCATAGAAGGCACATAAGGATAGATAAATGTACACAGTGTATCTTTTTAATGAGATGCTGACCTTAAAACGGCTGATCAGGTCATAGCGTGTGAGTAATTCATAGAAAATGAATTTCAATGCGTGATCTCCACTGGCCTCGTTGAGGGAAAACACATCGAAGGACCATTTGTCCACATCCTGCGGAACAGAGCAGGGAGAGCGCTATTAGTTGGCATGCCTATGCAACCGCTAATCTACCCACCTTTGAGTCTTCTGGTAGCCCACACCTGCAATAAGTAGCCCAAGACTATAAAGAACTCTCAGTAGCCATCTAGGGTGGTGGTACAAAAATACTTACTGCTTAAAAAAATACCAAAGAACTTTATTATCGAGAAGAAGTATTGACAGGCATCATGACTGCTGGTATGACTAATTACACTTCACAGATGAAGAAATGGAGAGATACCCAAATCCTCAAAGGCCTGTTGGAAGCACACGCTTAGGACATGAATGGGATGAGAACACACATGCCTTCCCTACTGATGCCCCTCTAGGCTCCTTCCTTCAAGCCTATCAGCTGTCACTCTGAGTGCAAACGCGGTGGGGCACATCTCCAGACACTCTCCAACCTGCTAACATACTGTGTAATGAAACCTTCTGAGCCCAGATTTGACACTGTTAACTCACTTCAAAGTGTTCAGAAGCATGTATAATATTGAAGACAAAAATGGAATTCCACTTCAACTTCAACCACCAAGATCCAACCAAAGAGACAACATTCACTTCAAGAACAGAAAAAAAAATGCTCTCTGGAGCCACAAATCTGGTGACAAATTTTCCCTCTTGCTATAACACTTCAGTGAGAGAAGCAAATGTAAAAAGTGAACTGGACATACAACTTATTTGCCATCATGAATTTCGTATTTGTTCACAAATACTTGCTCCAGAATACACGTAAACATCTCTTCTGTGCTTTTGACACAACAACACCAGGCACTTGTAGACATAATAAACAAATGTGTGCTTAAATCAACAGGCATTTAGTATCTTCATCACACCATGGGTATTCCTTCTGTAGTTACAGGACATATACTGACATTCTCTTGATAATGAGGACCCATGAGAGGTCACGTAGAAGAAGGCCAGGGGTTGGTGCCTCTGGCATCAGAAACTCTGCACAAAGGACTCGGGGTATCCTAAAACGATCCTGTAATCCCATTCCCGTGCTCTTGTTACATCTAACCCTTCCATCCATCATGTCCAGCTCAAGACTGCTGGGAATTCTTCCATGGAGGCAAAGCCACATAAAAGCAAACATATAAAAAAAAACATTTAAGTTTAGTGGTAAATTCAATTCCTTTAGTAATATTTACCCTTCCACTAAAATAATTAAAACTGTGAGGTGAAGTGTTAATCCACAGTCCTCAAATCTCCCAATTCTAGAAAAAGTTATATTTCCCCCAGAGTTCCACAGCATGTGCCAGCCTGAGAGAGACAAAGAGTCCAGAGTCACACAACACTTGGGAGAGACAAAGGGTCCAGAGTCACACAACACCTGGGAGAAACAAAGGGTCCATAATCACACAGTAACAGAACTACTTAATAATCTCACGGGCAACCTGTCATGTCACCTCACTGCCTACCAACGACCCCTGTAAGCCCAATGAATCCACACTGTGACCCAGGCCACATCCTTCAATTACCCATTGAGGACTCAGGACAGAGACACCAAAATTTACCCACCACCTGGAACTTTGTTTGAGTTCTATTATTGGATTCCTATAAGTCACAGCCACTGTCTGGTCCAGTCCTGAGGAGGACACCGACAGCCCCAGGAAATGAGTAGGGGAGTGGGTGTTCTCTATGGGCCTTTGCTTCAAGGAAATCTTAACTGTTATTCTTGAACTTCATTCTTCTCCCAAGCTATTTAGGGACTCGCTGAAAATACTGAGGATGCTGTAGGCCTCTGAATGATCCTGAGCCTGGAAGTTGCATTTTAATGAGCACCCAATTTAAGTGCCTTAAACACGCTTTCACTTTTACCAGATGTTGACCAGGAATAATTCCCGTCAAGAAAGATGGAGACCATCCAGGTTAGCATGGCCTAAGGAAACTGCTTATTTCTTCCCATTTAAAAATTATCTAAGGGGCTGGTCCTGAGCCACAGAACAGCCACCCTTCTGAAGAACAGATCGCTTCTGTGTCTCTAGAACGCTACCCCAAAGGCAAGAGATAAAGTGAGATTCGAAGGTAATATGCACCAAGTGGAGAGGTACCAAAGGTGGTACACAGCCCACTCAAAACTTCCAATGAGCAGTTGTTAATTATTCTCTTCCTTAGATGTCATTTTATGCCACGTTCTTCCATTAACTGCAAAGGTTAACGTGACATGCCACCACGGTTATTTTAGTGAACTGAATTCTCTCAGTCTTTGAGAAATTTTTCTGTATTAGAGAAAATCAGTAGTGATTTCCCTATAAATGCCAGCAGCTCAGTGCAAATAACCTCTTCCCCAGTAGGTACAAAGAAGGAAAAGAGACACCATGTCTGTGCTCTCCAGCCCACTTCAGTCCTCTGGCGATCAAAGGCTAGTGCAGAGAACTGGAAAGACACTACTTAGTAGACAGAACCTGAACTCTCTTGATCAACAGGAAGTGGGGTCAAAGGCAAAAGCTGTGACCTTAACGTACAGATCAGCAGACACGGGGAGGGTAGTCATTTGGAGCTAACTGGTTCCTGCTCTGATTAACCCAAGTATCTTTCTCTCAGAATGACCATGAAGACTCCCTGCTTCCTTCAGTGGCAAATAACAGTTTATCCACATAACAGGTTGGTCTGCATTTCAGTTTTCAGCTATTCGTAGAAAAGAAACTTCAATTTGGAAGATAAACTCTCATAAACAGCCCAGTATCAGTGAATCCACTTGTGTTTGTGTTTATGACAAAGGTAGAGATAAAGGTTTAAATAGGCTTCTAATGCTCCTGAGATTTACATCGAGTGTTTCAGTTCAATTATGAAAATCAATGGCAATTTTGCTGTGGCATTAGCAGGTCTCATGAAGAAGTTCTGCAGGCCAGCAAGCTGGGAAACATCACAGTAAACTAAACTGATGGGCTGGCCATTTGCATGGGGGCAGGTGACTTCTCACAGTGTCCTTCCTGCTGTTAAGATGCAAGGAGGAGGAGAAACAGACAGTACAAAGAGAAAAGTGAATCCTGTAAACACAGCCATGTGACTGTCTCTGAAGGAAACAGAACGCCACGAGCATACAGTCAGAACGTCTTCACTGGGTGTGCTTCCTACATTAAGCTATTTGTGAAGCACTGCCCACCCCCTACTTCCACAAATGGGTAATTTATATTCTGAAGACTTCATCACAGTGTACTTCTTGCACGTTTCAGAGAAAGACAATGCCAGCAGTCAGAAGGCCATGGTGCCAGCGCACAAAGGGACGCGTGCTAAGTTCAGACAGTCCGTACTATCAACCAGCACAAGACACCGGGCCCTAGCCAGTCCCACCCTGCAACCAAAGTAAACCAGGAACACTCCAGAGCCCTGAATCTGACTCCACCCCAGCCTGCCTCAAGGACACTTCTGTGTGGGGCCTTTAGAAGTCATCTAGATAACTTCCAGTGCGCTTAATTGGGCATTACCATGCAGGGTTCAGCCTGCTTAAAACAAAACCATGCTTGAATGACTTCCCATGCAGCACCTGGCGCAGTGCAGGTCTTGGGAAAATAGCAGAATGTCTCTAGGGACGAGGGCTCTGGAGTAAGCAATCCTGTAATAAAATGTTTCTGAGACTGTGCCATGTGCTGGGAACACCGCCCAAGCCTCAACTCTGATTAACTCTGATCTTATTATTATTTTTTTTTACAATTTTCTGAGTGTTTTTTTTTAATCCTTATTACATTGACTTGGAGTGGACAACCGAGTATTGACATAATTACAAGCAACAAGTTTTTTCCTAAGTTTAAATACATTAGTTATAATGCACCTTATCTCCGGGGGCTACTGCTACATAAATCTCATCATGGCAGATTACTGTGTTAAACCGAAATCCACACAGAGTTTAATTTGGAAGAAAAAAATATAGAAGGCTAAAGACTAAGCTCATAGTGATACTATTAGAACAGATAAGAAAACAAAAATGAAAGATTAAGGTCGGAATAATGGAAAAGTACAGGAACGAATATTGTTTCCTAAGAACAAATTTAGCCGTACTCTGCAGTCGCTTCCATGTATCCCATAAGCCTTTTCATCGGTCTTACCTTTAATGCGTCAATAACAGCTGGTGGATAGCTCAACCCAACCATGTTTGATGTCCGCCTGTACATTCTGGCAAAGATGGAGGAGAAAACAAAATGTAATCGCTTACAACAGATGGTTAGCCCTTCACAGGTCTGCACACATATTGACAACTGAGGAGCACTCAGGTCTTCTGGTGGCCCAAGGAACTTTAAATCCCAAAGTGACTCTAGAGTCTTTCCTTAGTGATGAGTCAAAAAGAAATGAAGGCAATCTCAAACACACAAGGCACTGGAAGCAACACTGAATTAAGCTTATGTGCCCCATATTGGACACTTAATTACTGAAAGGGATGATGGGCTCCACCAGCACTGGCTGCAGGACGAGAATCGAGGTATGTTATTGTACTTGATGGTGAACAGAGAATGTGTGTAGATGACCCACTGGAAGTACTTCTCCAGAGCAAGTAAATATCCCAGGTAAACTTTGAAATCACTACCATGGAATTGCTAGAATGTGAACTGTGTAATAGGGAACAGTAGAAGAAATGATTCTATGTCTCGTAGGGAATAATTCAGTGTCAAAAAGCTGGCAAACTATGTCACAGGGTGAAGCACGATTAATAAAAACTTGGAGAGAAAAATAGGGGTTCAACCTGAAGATCCAAAAGCAAAGCAGCCAGCCCTACTGACTCTTACCGCGATCTCAGTCCAAAATGGTGATCCTGCCTCTAGAAATCTCAGAACAATAGCTGAGAGCTGTCACCTCCGGTTTTATAATCCTCTATAGGGCTGTAATTAAAGTGTGCACCACTGGGATTAAAGGCACGCACCACCCAGTTTCTATGGCAAACTAGTGTAGCTACTGGGATTAAAGGTGTGTGTTACCATTGTCTGTAAGGCTGACCAGTGGGGCTGTTTTACTCTCTGGTCTTCAGGCAAGTGTATTTATTAAAATACAAATGAAATATCACTACATCAAGGAACTCATACCCCTCAAATAAACTGTCCTCCCTGGGTCACTGACCTCAAAACACCTACTGGTTTGTTCTGATGATATCCATATATTTGAAAAACATGGAGGAGATGATCTCTGACTTTAAAAATGAGGCTGAGCTTAATCTAAATCTTAAGACGAAGATTTTGAGCAAAAAGAAAAACTTGTCCTAATGATGTCTTGCAGATTAGAATACCTGTTTCTCCTCAGAAATTTGAGTTCTTATAATAGCATATCAAAACTACATTAAAGGAAAGCTTGCAGTCCTAGCACCTGGTATTTCTCTTACTGGTTTGGCCCTTGAGTAACAGTGGGTTTCACCTTTACCTCTCCACAAATATCCCAGCTTGCACTGCGTGGACGATGGTCTTGAACCGGGGCTTCTCGTCACTTCTCCTAAGCATCATCCCCATCTGTCGTGTGAAGGTGGAAGCCAGCCAGTCTCGGACCTCAGAAGGCACAGCATCTGACTGAATGTCACTAAGCTCGTCCTCTGTATCCAGAAGACGCCTGGAGATAAAGCACACAGCCAAAGACTGAATCTGTTTGAAACAGCTGCCCTTCTCCACCCAACCTGAAATACAGGCACAAAAACATGATATCAAACAGGACACACACAGGCAGAGGGGCAGCAGTGTTTTGGCAAGGCCTGTGACAGTTCACAGTGACTTTTGAGTAAATCGGAACTGGCCTGTCCTCCAGAGACACAAGTATAAAAATGTGTAAGAAGCTAAGGCCCAACCAGTGACAGCATTGGGTCAGACTGAAAAACATTGCACAGATCACAACAACAGAGTACTCTGAAGCAGTGATTTTAAGGGATGCCCATGGATACTCCTTTAATTCAATAGGAGATAAGAGAAACATGAACTTCTGAATTCAAGGAAACGTCCCCAAACAGGGCAGTTCTTTGTTTGAATTCCAGAGACTTAAGCCATTTGTGCATGTGCTTTTCTGATTTACCTAACTTATTCAGTCAGAGTGCTAGAAAGGAACAAAAGTAGTTATAATAGAACCCAAATTATTGAACATCATTTGTTGAAGTCCCGTTAAAAACAAACAGTAAAAGTGACCATCAATATAAAGACGTTTTCCACTGTCATGTGTTTAGATATATTCATTTAGGTAAAGGGAGAAGAAACTGTGATATCAAATTCCTGAAATTAGTAATGAATCACATCATTAAAAAAAATAAGCCAAACAACCCAACTGTAGTGACTCCCTGATTTGGGTTTCACAAACAGAGCAGCCTGTCTGACTAGACTTTCACAGTTGACATTTCAGCAGTTTCCAAAAGGAAAGGAAAGCAGTTCTGTTTCTTTCAAAAATCGATTTCAGTGCCTGCAATTGCTCTAATATGTGTATAATTCAAGAGGAAATGTTTGCTGAAGGAGGAATGCTGGGGACTTCAGAAACCTCCAGATGTAGTTGTCACTGCAGGGACCTCCAGATGCTGACACAGATGATGGATTCAAAGACACACTTTGGACTGATACAATGAGTATGCAGCCATCACCGTGGGAATATACATCTTGCCAGACTTTTAACAGGTGCCCTTTCTGCACTGACACCGTTTTACTGTGCATGCAGC